GGATTTTTCCGTCCGTTGATTAATTTCGAAACTTTTCCCCCCTCGAAAACAGACCGAAAAAAACTACTTTATCACCACAGGCTGTGAGGTTTCGTATGGTTGAGAGTTTTTGTTACTTTTAATCATTAATATTCGCTCCCTTTTCAAATACGAAACCATTTCAACCTTTTTTTTGTTATCGTCAATTTTACAAAAGCGTAACAATTTGGCTGACACACATTTGTAACTGCCCAGTTATAAAAGGCCCTGAACACATTGGGTACAAATCAATAGTGATGACTCTATATTTATTTAATTTATTTAATTAAATGTAAACTTATCAATAATTTTTAATACTGTCCTCATTTAATGTGCTACCAACTGCACCAAAAATTAAAGGGGCCTTAATTTAAAAATCGATGTCTTCGTAACCGTTCCATAAAAAATAACGACATAATTCACGAGGATTCCGGCTAGCTTATTCACTTCAATTACTTCAATGTTGTTCAATTTCTAGTGCGAAATTTTGCTTTTTGCTTTTTAAACCTGGAACGTACGAGCCATCTTGCAACCCAGCTTTATGGTCAATGTTTCCCAAGATATAATTAACGTTCCAGCAATAGGAAGATAAGATGGAAAACTAAAGGTACCATAAATAAAAGAAATTACTTGCTATATTTTCTCTGGAAACGAAGAAAAGGCATCTGTTTTGAGATATCATTCAATATCTGGTAGACTATGTGTCAGAAGAATAAATGGGAAACACCACAACACATCTTCTATCAATATATATGCTCCAACTGAGGCTGCGTAAGAGCATGTTGCAAACAGTTGAACTACAAACCATATGTGAGAGAATTCCAAAACATGACGCTATTATGGTCCTCAAAGATTTTAATGCTAAAGATTTGGAAAGTCAGTCTTCATGAAGTAGCCTTCACAGCTAATGGACTCAGAGTTGCATAATTTGCTGGAAACATTCTCTTGAAAGTCATGAGCACTTGCATCCTACGGAAAAATATACGTGAAGGAATCATGTATTAGTATGTAGGAGATGGGCAACTTCCATACAGAACATAAAATCATACCGAAGAACAGACTGACTCAGATCACTACTTGGGAGAGCTAAATAAAACAACAAACAGCTTATAATGAAAGGCCAAATAATACAACAAAGCGAATACAGCGAAACTAGAAATTTGAAATGTAATACTACTTAAAAATTTAATCATTGAGACAAGTCGCACAGTTGATGTGACAGGAAAACTAATCAATGAAGAGTGGTATGATGAAGAGTGTAGAAAGGCGATCGGAGAAAAGAGACAATCCAAACAAAAGTGTTTGCAACAGAATACCAGAGTGAATAGAAACAACCATAATCAAAAAAATGAAATAGGGCAACTACAATATGATATGATACAATATGATACAAGAAATGGTAGAACATCACAACAAAAACAAGTGTACAGGGTTACATAGGCAACTGAAAGAAATAATGCATTAGGATGACTGATAAATGTTCTTACACTGCGAAATGACTGCAAAGATGGATAGAGAAAACAATAAATACTGAGTACCCCACAGTGCACCCCTACACTATGGAAACATCCTCTTCCATGATTTAATAATATCGATATGGATTAATGAGACAATCCAAGAAAAATGAACCCTTGGAATTATTCAACCTTTTCATAAGAGAGGTGGCAATCTACTCACGTTCTAATCATATTTTTAAATGTAGCATATAAGATACTAGCATGTATCTTAAACAATACAATAGTTGAGAAAACTGAGGAAATTCTGGGCGAGTATCAGTTCGTCTTTCGCGTTATACGCACAATTTTTAATCAGATACCTATTCGTCTTACGAGAAATGCAAGAAAAAGTATACGAATACAGCAAAAGGTTACACATATTATATGAAGACTTTAAACAAGCATTCCATAGTGTTAATAGAAGCAAGCTTAGCTTTTTCGAGGGCTGCAATAAGAGTTGATAGAGAGCTAACATCTGCATTTACCATTGATACTGGAGTGCTACGGGGTGATCGGCTACACTGTTCAATCTGATGCTGGAAGCAACCACCAGAAAATATATTAGATATTGGTACTAAAACATAGCAAGACTGCGCCTATGCCGATGACAGAGCAATTATGAGTAGAAGTGTAAGAGGACAGAAAGATAACTTGAATATATTAGCCACCGATCTGGAAGTTAGTGGTTAGATATTTTGGTCATACATTTCATACAATGGATTATATAGTAATGAAAAATAAAAACTGCTCAAATCTAGAATATTGAGCAAAAATATAAAACTAACTACATTATAAAAATCCTATTATACAGGGTGATTCTCAACCCATACGCATAAATATGGGGATTTACTCCTCACGACGAGTAATGGCTAATAGGCGAAGAAATTTGTAGTAAAAGATTTGTATCTGATTTTGCAATATTTGCTCAGTATTACCTTCCGTGCTTTTTAAGTCACCCGAAAAGTAAAAATCAAGATGGTTGAGGCCGGGCGATCACAGTGGCCAGGCCAATATATCGGATATCTAGGAGACTAAAAAACTTTTACTACAATTTTTTTCATCTATTAGTCATTATTTGTCATGAGCAATAAATCCTCAAGTTTATGCGTATAGATTGAGAATCAACCTGTATATACAGAGTGGTCCATTTAACGTGATACAAGCGATTATCTCGAAAACGGTTCACTTTACATAAAAATGAACCAAATGAAAGTTGTTCTGTGCGAAGGGGGAAACCATATGACGATAACATTTTTTGACCTTGGCCTTATTTTCAAGGTTATATGAAGGTCATGGCCAATTTTTTAAATGGCACCCTATTTTTCTTGTTGCGGAAACATTTGAAGCTTTTCAAAATGAAGAGGGATTCAAGAGGTTACGAATTTGACCAATTGATAGATGGTGCCGATATCATTAAGTCAGGTTCATTAAAAGTATGAGACTCAGATGAGAGCACGTGGAGCAAATGAGCACTAAAAGAACAAGAAGGACAGTTGCAGATTAGAAACGAATGGGTCGAAAAGCCAGAGGAGTCTAAGAAAAAGACGGAGATTTAAAAGATGGTGACGATTGTGTGGTGAGAGGACATGGTTATAAACTTTGAAGAATTAACTCACAACTTGTACTTGCGCAATTCTGCGTAGGTTATAATGTTTAACAAATTTGTCACTTCACTATAAGATCTTGTTCTATCACCACATCTTGTCATCATTAGGACAGTAATTCGATCTTTTTCATTAAGAAGCACTTTATATAAACGAAATACTTTGCAGAACTCGTCTAGAACTACTGACACTTAAGCATACTTTTACTGTATTCTAATAATTCCTCTGCAAAATACAAAAGCAACAAGTTGAAGAAGTGACCTTTATTCTTGACGTTATTAATGGACAATTTACTCCAACAATTAATTCGACATTCCTTCGATTCTGGATTTGATACACACTTATTTTTTGCTCATTACGTTTGATAATTGTATTTATATCGTCGCACAATAAGTTACTGAAATTTACATGTTCAATGTCATAATCGTCTACGATTTCGTCACCCGAATTGGAATTTCCAAGCAGAATCCTACTACTTGTCCGTAGTTGACTTACTCTATTAGTTGCAATATTCTTAAGTGCAGTGAGTGTTGACTGTAGTCGTTTCACAGGTATATTTGATTCATCTTGTACAACTGTTGCCAATTTAGAATTAATTTTATGCAATAACGACTACATCGATATGTAGCAGAAATTACATTATTGGTTTCTTCAAGAAGTTATTTGCAGCGTTGATTTTTGAGGTTGTCTCATACTTTATTATTTGACACTTCGATGTTTTTCTAACTATAGTTATGTTATATTTTGATCAACCTTTTCATTGATTCTCAATTTGTTTATCAATTTATTTATATTATGTTAAATGATATAATTTAGTACAAGGCAAAAATAACTGTGAGAAAATACGTAATAATTATTTAATTTTGTTATTTTTTTGTAACATCCATTAAATAATTATGCACCTGTAATAGTTTTATATGTTTCGGTTACTTTCCTATTGCGAAAACATTGACCTTAATCACAGCAAGTTCTATGCAAATGGCCCCGGCTGCTGGCCGTTAATTTACACTACCATTACATACGAGAAGCGAGATCTGCCCCGGTTTTAACCCAAACTCTGATAAAGTAGGTTAATGTGGCGATAGGTGTTTTATTTGAAAATCGAACTAACTGCCCGCAATATCAATTAGAGAATTACTCGGATTTCAACTTTTCCTCCCAATAACAACAAAAAAAGACCATGTCTTTAGTATTCAATTCAACATCACAAAACTTAACTTTCTTTTGTAAATAAATAAAAGAAATAAACCTCCCAATATTCTTTTTTTTCAGTTTGCGTTTCTAACCAAACTGCGTGAATTTATAAATTTCTTTTGGATGCGGTTTTTAATTTTCTGAGTAAATTGAGGCATCATTAACGGGTCGGAACCCGGTATTAATTCTGAAACGGAAAGAAAAATTTAAATACTAATTGAATTGGGGGCTTTCTGAATACTAATTAATGAGGGATAAATAGGCGGAAATTGAAAGATAAATTAAATAAATAAGTAGGTTAAAAAAATATGACATTTATTTTCTATTTTTAAAACTACCATGTGGTTTGCGAACCCAAAAATCTAAAACAAGTTTAAATACAACATTCATTACTTGAGTCATCAGAATAAATTGAACCGTTAATTTATTCAAATCTACTTTCACTGATGATTAAAGATCAACACTTTTTCTTTTATTTATTATCCAAAATTTAAAATTCTTCTCAAAAAACGTAACGGTTCTTTTATGGATTATTAAATCATTTAAATTAACAAGCAAAAAATTCTTACGTCGATTTGTATTAGAATTTATTATGGACGTTACGCGTGAAGAACCGTTTCGCCAACCAAGAAAAATTCAAGGAATAAAAAGAAGAAAACGAAGAGGACGTTGCGTTGGAGACAAGTTGACTATGACGAGGAAAAGTTGAAGAAGAATGGCGACAATCACCACGGTCTAACGCTTACAATAACCGCGGCCCCAACGGCTTCCAACTGAAGAGAAGGGATCTCTTTATAGACCATAGTCTTCGCGGAATCCGCAACACAGTTGCTACTGAAGTGAAAGACGGCGAATGTGGCCAAGACATTAAAAAAAACAGGACCTCAGTGTGTGAAAACTTTTTGTTATTAATTAACATTAATTTTTAAAGAACGAGAAAGTTTAGATTTAAGTTTTTTAAAGAAACGAGAAAGATGGGGCAACAATTTGATTGGAATGGAAGGTTTATGTCGGTTTGTTTTAATTGTAAGTATTATTTTAATAAAATTTTTGATTTAACTAAAATTAGCTAGAAAATGCGTGAAATTTAATGATGAAAATTAATGCTAAGTTTAGAAATCTGTGCAAGAATTACTTCCACTTTCCATTACTTTAACTAGAATGCTTTATAACCTTTAAAGATTTAAAAGAAAATTTCTTGTAAATGAAACAAATAAATAGTAATACATGAATAAATAAAGAAATCCACGATGAACCGTGTTATAACTATGAGATAATAAGGTATTAGAAAGTAGTTCATCTACCATAACCAATTAACATTGTTTTATAATAATCCTCATTAAAACTTTGCACATAAACAAATAAAACCCGCGATAAAATAACATAAAATAAATATCTTAAGAAATTTATTACCTTTTTTATGTTGCTGCCTCCGAAGATCCTGAAACAAAAATAAAAAATCCATTAATCAAAAATATTGGGAATTACTTTAAAACAGAAAAAAAGTAGTACATTAAACTCAATTCAACGCTGAATCCAAGCCAAGAAAAGAAAATCCCCCAAAAACCACTTAAAAATAAATCGTAGTTTTCCCCAAAGCAGGACATTACAGCATCTCCAGCGTCATTATTATCAAATTAGCGTCGTGAAGCCGACGTAGTGTTTAGCAACCAAGGGTCGAGAAACGATTCAAAAAAAAGTGTCACCGAGAGTATGTAGAAACAAACTCAACAACACACCATTGTTTTCTATTTTTATCTAATATGTTATTTCAAAACGCGTATAACAAGACTTTCACAAAAGAAAAAAACAGTATAAAATCTCAATCTCAAATTTGTCCTTATCATAAATTAATTTTTTTTTATTTATGAGAATAAACTTTCTAATTAAAACAAACATTTGGACTAAACAGAGCGTGTTATAAGAGAAATCATGTTTATGATAAATATGTTATCTTGATATTTATAATAAAATAAAAAATTATTCAATGACAAACCGTGATAAAGCTTTAAAATTCAACGGCGAGAATACACTTTCATTAATCCTCGTAAAAATTCACGACACGAAACGCAGATGCTGCACCCTCTTTACAAATACAACCGTTGAAAATGGAAATTAATAATTGCGTAGACGTCTACAAACTCGTTATTAGTACCTATTTAATTTTTTTTTAAATATTTTTTTCCTAATCAGAAAAAATTCAGAAATAGTTTCAAGGGAATCCACAACAATCGTTTCGCTTCGTTCGTTTGGCCTTTTCTAATGTTATTACTATACTTTTACAATCGCTTGGTATTAAACATATTTACCTAGTTTAAAAGTTCAACAAGTCTTCGTCTTCGTTTTTCGTCGTCGAGATGTCTAACAAGACACACTTTCACTTGATGATGTTCAACACAATTTATATTTTTTTAATGTTTCAAAATAAAGTTTATCTCAACCCTTATTTTATATCATCTTTGCACTAGACGTAATCCTTATATTCCTTCCAGAAGTTTCCCAAAGAACAGAAACGTTTCGTCCTCCTGCCCTTTCTCTAGGGACAAAGGACATGACAGACGGGCACGTATTCGGTTGGTTTTTATTCCGGTTAATAACTCTCTGTTACGCTGCGACGGCTCTTGTGGCATTCGTAATCCTCTTTTATGAAATCTCTTGTGTGTCACATTGCAAGTAGCAGTCGGATCCAAAATGACTTAATAAATTAATGAAAAAAGAAGGAACACAATAAACCATTTTATACAAAATGTATGTGTAAAAATGTTCAGAGATTTTTTGCGTATTCTTGATGCAATAGACGGCGCCAACGGCAGGAAAATGCACCGAAATGTAATCCATCATCAACGAAAACGCAGAGCGAAAATTTATAGAGTCCAAAATTGAATTGTTTGAAAACCGTGATTTATAACCGTTTGCGAAACAGCCGCGCGATTTCGCTGAAGCCGCGGATACCATAAAAATCTATCATTGTGTCGGGGTTAATAAAGAATGCATCTAAATCAAAATGCAAAAGTTTTTAAGATATATTTCATTGAAATATAATAGCTAAAAACACATCTTGTACTATTAATTTACAAATATTAAGAATGAATATTGAGAAGTCTAAGAAAAAGTATGGATAGTAAATATGCATGGACATGAATAGTAAGGCAAATACAATTGAACAAATACTATATGACATGTTTCACTCGTGAGGAAAAAAAATATGTCATAGCAAAACTTTATAATGACCATTCGAAAAATGAAATGGATATACTACTTCCATGGACTTATTTCCAGACAAAATTGCATAGTTTCAGGCAATTTCAAACAGATAACATCATCTTTTATACCTTTCTTGAGTCTACAATAATTGGAATATTGATCAACAATAAGTCCTTACAGCGTCTTACCAAACTTGTGAATAAATAACACATTACCTTTGGATCAACGAGATAGACATCAAAATCGTGGCATTACGCTGTATACAGTCAAATCAAATTTGTCGGTTATCAAAGCACTTCAATCCTGAGAAATGTCACAACTATCAGTTTTATTTAAAATATATCAGAAAAAACTTTAGCTACAAATTTAGAAGGAAAAGATGGACGTGTCTTCTACATGTGAAGAGTTGAGTGTAAAAGCCAAGTTCACGACTCTCAATGAAACATCAAAAAGGGAAATAGTGCCGCAATTACTTCATTTGATGCAAAAGTCGGTTCAAAAAATTTAAAGGCAGAGGTAACAACGATCTGTAAAGAAGAGAGATGGCATGATGGTTATCGTGATTATGCCTTTTATGCCATGAAAAGTGGTATTATGTTTTCAATATTCATGATACTGGTCATCAAAACTCCATTTTGTATACATATACAGAAGGAGATGCAAGCAAAGGTTCAAACGAAGTTCATGTCTTCAATGATGCTTGTGCTGGACATAATAGAAATCATACCCTAACAAAATTTCTCTTGACATTCACTCTGACTGGCCGATAACAAGTTGTACAATCAATATTCTCCATTACGTGGGCATAACTTTTTACAATGCGATAAAAATTTTAAATCGCAATACTAATAGAAATCAGAGTGAAGAGAAAGATTAATTTTCCAATTATGGCAGGTCGAGTTTACAATATTATAGTTGGCAGATGGTGAGGTATTCAAATATATTATATCGACTATCGGTTTTCCATTTCTTTCAATTCGTTGTAGATTGTGAATTTCGCAAAAATAAATGATTGAAGATTAATCAACCAACATAAAAAAAACACTAGATTAACACTAAGTAAAATCTTTTAATGAAATATCCATTTGCAGAAGTATTCCTTAAAGCAAACTAATTGTTGTGGACCTTACTATATCCTTTAGGCAAAGCGCCCCTCAAATACGGATTGGAGTGTGGCTAGAAACTTGCACATCCGTCGACCAGGCAATTCAAACGTTTAAGCCGTTCAAATCGCCCGGAGACAATATCTGTCTTTTTGCTTTGCTACAGCAAGGAAGGTCACTGTTGTTGCCTACTTTGGTAAAAATTTTCAGAGCGAGTGTCGCCTGGAAATATGTACCGGCAGAATGGACTAAGGCAAGGGTATCTTATATACCGGGCCGTTCGATTCCTACTCCTAATGCCTTTCGACCCATCAGCCTAACGTCATTTCTGTTGAAAACCCTTGAAAAAGTTCTGGAACGGTATATCCGTACGGTGCCATTGGTATCTGCTTATGCTGATGACATTGTCGTTATGGTCAAAGGAACCTGTTTGTCGAGGATATCTAAAGTCCTCCAGGTGACCCTTTTGATAGGATACCATTTGCGCTTGGTGTAAGGGAGAGAACCTCTCGGTAAACCCGCAAAAGACAATTGTTGTGCCCTTCACCAGGAAACGAAAGTTGGATGGACTAATCCGCCCAACCATCCAAGGTGAAGAAATTCCTTTCTCAAAGGAAGTCAAACATCTAGGAGTAATCCTAGACAAAACCTTGTCATGGAATGGTCATTTGCAGGGAGTTTTGCACAAAGCTAGACTATCCTTGTGGACTTGTCACAGTATTTGTGGAAAAAATTGGGATCTTACCCCAGTACAGTCTTTCAGGGGTAGTCTCTATGTGACTGTGGTTAGACCTATGATCACAAACGGAGCAGCAGCCTGGTATAGGAAAATCCGACAGATCTCAGTTATCAGTAAACTTTCACGAATTCAACGAGTAGCTGGATTGTCAATCTGGTGCCATAGGCACAACGCCAACTCTAGCAATGGAGGTTCTGCTTGGCCTATCTCCGCACTTGCATATACAGAAAGTCTATAGAACAACCAGTTACAGATTTAAGCAATATGCTCAAAACTGCTACGACATGTCCTACCAATGGGCTACGGAAGACATTATAAGCACTGATACTGTGCTATCCATGCCGTCAGATTTGGCGGGATCACTATCAATGATTAATGCTGGATACCAGATTGTACTGCCTGAGCGGCAGTCCTGGATCAAAAATGAAAATTCTCTGATTCAGGCAGATATTTGCTTGTTCACAGATGGATCAAAAACGCTTGAAGAACTCGGAGCAGCTTACAAAAATAAGCAAGCTTACAGCCTGGATACGTACTGTACTGTATTCCAGGCGGAAGTATTTGCTATTGACATGGGTGCTAAAATCCTTCTTGAGAGAGGGGTGAAGAACATGACAGTACGAATATTCTCAGACAGTCAAGCCGCTCTTCAGGTGCTGCAAGCCGTGAAAACGGTGTCAGCTCAGGTTAATTATTGTAAGAGAACATTAAGCACACTGAGTTGTGATAACAGAGTTTCTCTGATCTGAGTCTCGGGTCACTATGGAGTTGCTGGCAATGAATCGGCAGATGAGCTAGCACGAGAGGACATCGCTAAAGCTGCTGAATGCGTGGAACGATTTGCCTGCCATTGTTCGCAATGCAGCTAGCATTGCACACCTCTACTTGTGGGGTTTCGCCGACTATGTTGAATGTATTTTCCATAAAATAGTCGTCACATGTTACAGTTCGTGTTACGGAATCTGCCGAATAGAGTTTTGTCACACTCTTAACACAACATTGGCAGTCTGTGAAGGGCAAGGAAAACACTGAAATTTCTGGGTTGTATTACATGGCGATTATTTCTTTTTATTATGTCTGTATACTCTCAACCTGCAAAATTAAGTGGAAGAATTTCAAAACTTCGGACACTATTACAATTACCTCTTAATCTAGCCTTCATAATTCTTCTAAGTCTAAGTATATTCGAGATAATATGCTATATGAAATCAGTTACCGTTACCAGAAGTTTTGGTAACGTTTTGTTTTGCTTCTCGAGCTACCATGACAATTTTTATACACATATTTGTGGAAAAGTCTTCACAATTGCAGAGACACACATCAAAAACATATTACGCATATAAATAGAACTTCTGCAATTTGTTGTTAACCTGATTTTATTGTAAGTTCCTAGATTCATCATAGCAATCTCTTATCATTTTCATAATGCAATTGTGATAAAGACTTGAATGGACGCTCTGTTCCATACTAGAGTAGATGTTCGTTGTATCGAGTGCAAATGCGGAATAGATCCTATAGTATATGTCTTACCACTTGGATGTTTTGTACCTCACGCCTGCAGTGAATTACGCATGCTCGGTACATTATGACAACTTTTCTATATTCGATATTCGATGGAATAGTCAGTCCCTTTAATTTTGTTAGAATTGGCGAATGGCATTGTTGAGATAGATTATTGTCTCGTATTCTTTTGAGCAAGTTCAATGCACAAACTTGTATCCTATACCAGTGATAACTCTAGTCATTCATTTAGTCCCTGGCTTTTGGACGACATTTGAATTGATGTTATCTTTTTGTCAAAACCATCCAATTCTACCCAAAAATAGTTTCCAACATAATAATGAGCTCCATTGGCCGTAATATGTCGGCCATTTTCATCGACGGAAAAATATGATGTAAATCACACCTCTAGCACGAAATCCACACCATACTTTTTGTAGTTGTAATGGAATTTCTTGAAACACATGTGAATTTGTTGCTGACCAATAATACATATTTTATTTAGTGACAAAGCCATGAAACCAAAAATGAGCTTTATCACTGAAGATGATTTTTTGATGAAATTTTTGCAGAACACAATTTAAGAAGTTTCGGCACTTCAAAAGATTAAGAGGCTTTAAGAGGATTAATTCGCCACAAGATGGTTTCCCAATTCCTGTGAACGGCATGAAATCGATTGATTTGGTTCATTTTGAACTGAAGCACTGAAATTATCTCAGTGGCACAATATTCAATAATGAATACTTCAATTCGAATTTAGCTGGCGGCATAATTATTACAACAGAAAATTGGAGCAAGCGCTTTTAAAGAACATTTATGGCCTGTTGACCTTGACAGAACATGAAAAACATTCATTCTAATACACAAAATTGTTATGTTAACATTGGAAAAACCGTTATAAAAGGACTCAACATTTTTTTTAGAAACTCTTTTTTTTTAGAGTAGCTACAGAAAGCACCATAAGCATTAATACAAGCTGTAGTCGTTTGGCATTAGCGATTTCAGATTATATTATATGTGAGACACATCTGGATTGAATACAATTACGAAAGTCTTTGATCATTCAAAAACACTTACTAAATTAGAAGTTTAATGTCAGAAAACGTTAGTAAAGGCCTTGCAGTAACCGATATAGAAAGATCAGATCGGGTATAGAGATACAATTAGCGGTCTAGATGTTAAGAAAGCTTTCAAAATGTATAATACGTAATACCAATGTAGCTGTCAATTGTGGAAACCTTAAGTAGCAAGTGCTATATAATTTGCAATGCCCAAGCAAAAAGATTGATCAATTTGTATTAATCTATAAATCATTGTGTCCACGTTGTGATCAACGCAAAACATGTAAAGGAGTCTATCCATATCTCTACAGTCAAAACCAGGAATATAATAAAACCAAACTGTTGTAACATCTGAGCTTTAGGAGGATCTTGTTGATTTTACGAGACGACTATGTTCTTAGTGAGCAGAACTTGTTGGTCATAAAGGTTTGCCAATGTAATTCTCTTGTATACTTTTTGATTGTGTTTACTAAGCGTTGCACAATTATAAAATAAAGACTATCAACATTTGGTGTGAAGCTTTAATAATTGCAGAACTTAAAGTTTCTATATCATCGACCTTCAGTAATTTCAATTTTTTAATCTCTAAAAATTTTTTATTATTATTGATTACGAGCTCTGCTCTCTAATCACTATGAATTCTGCAATTTTTGAAACCATACATGAAAATGATAAAAATTAAATTAACGATATAATTTTTTTCTGATTGTTTCAGTAATACTTTTACTTCGATCATCTTATGGAGCACAATATTTGGGAAAATCCTTAGGAAAATTGGGAGAATTTCAGCATGGACTATCCGGTGAAGTATTCGCTGTAGACGGCAGAACTTTGCATATCAAAGACTTCACGTACGACGGACAGGGCCCGGGTAAGTGTTGGTGTGTGTGCACTTGGAGACTTTACTACAACTATGGCACTTGATAAAGGTGGTGTAGATCTACTCAAAACCGGGATCTAAATCCGGGTCAAAGTACCATCCCAACAATGAAAGCTGCACGGCGCTCTTAACCCCACTTTATGGCGTCTCGCCAGTTTCAATTTCCCAAGTGCTCTGTTTAATTGGTAATGTTTGCCGCTTGCTTTCCAGTACACGATGGTTACAAACTAAACACTCTGTAGAACTTAGTAAATGATGCACAAGACTTATACATTAGTAAATAAACCCAAATTAATTAACGCGTTTAGATGAAGAAAAAATTTCTTGATTTATAGCGTTATTGTATTCTTTAACCCAGATTTTAAAATTGCACATTTACATAAGAAATTTACGTAATTATCGCTTTATCCTTAAAATGATTAATGTTTGATATTCTTTAAAAGGAATAAATTTCAAAACTGACAACTCGTTCGAGAGTTTTAAAAGAAAAGATCCGTTGAGGAAACTTGAAAGTAAAAGTAGAAGAAACTTTCTTCTCAAGGTCACGAAATTGGTTTTCACCGAACGCGACTTAAATACCAATCAACCACTCAAACTGGTTATCCAGAGATCTTTCATCTAGAAAGTGCTCCACATCGATAAAAAAATTATGCTATTATACGATTTATATACATAAAAGTTTCCAATGGCATATAGGTTATAATTTAAAATTAGAATTCATGGAAATAAGAATTTTGTGGTTAAAATCTAACCGACAATTGGAAGGAGGTCACGAAGAATCGAAAAACCAAGCAGTAATAAATTTTATACACAACATGGCGAGTGCTTTTCCGTGAAATTAATTTCAAGATCCGACACGAATTATCCCCAGGTAGGAAATTAAATTCCTTACTTTAAATATTGAGCGAAGAACTTTCAGAAAACTGCAAGCGCAATAATTGAAATTTACTCTCGTTATGAACACCAAACTGAATATCATTCTATTTTTATTACAAATATTTCCATAAAAATGTGTTAATTTCGTTTTAGGTCATTATTAAAGAACACAACTTCTTTTGTCGGTTCATGATGATATTTTGCAAATATTACGTGATCATTTACGTAATGAACCGGACGAAACTTTCTCTCTGCAGGCAAAACAATAAAAAAAAATAGTTGGTGAACTTTTGCCAGTGACATCCCAGGAGTGTGGTTGTTGAGGCAAAGTTTCTGAGGTCGCAGAAAAAGAAAGCAACTGTCGCGAAGACTTCTTGACTATACTTTATTATTATTGCGTTAACACCGAGCCCTTGTTATACGACGCCATCAACGTATACAACAAAAATAAACATGACTTACCGTGTGTCGTAAATATTTTACTACCCAGAGGAGCACATTTTATAGATTCTTTACTAGAGACGTTGTAGCAATTCTACACTGCTCTCGAAGCGGTCGTCCTTCACTAAAAATGCAGATTGTCATGGGATCGATGCCAAACCGCTGTTGCAATGATCGTACGTTTTGTGGATAACCGTACATTTTTTATTTCTTTACAGCTCTTAAAACCCGCATCAATTGTCGTTAAATTCACTCCGGAGAATTCTTAATTGAATACAGTGAAAGTAAGCTAGTTTAACATCGATTTTCATCGAATTAACTACCACTTGAAGGCGTTTAATTTTGTTAACGATTTATTTATTTTAGGTTTTGTTATAGTTTCACTTCCTTTCGTCCTAATTTTCTATTTTATTTTTTCACAAAAACAATAATTTAACTTTTGTCATTTCTAAATTATCTTATTCCTTTTTTATAGCTGCATATTTTTGGGCTGGAAGTACAAAATCAGTTGGAAACCAAGGTTTTCGTATTCGAGATGAAAACAACAGTGGTGACGTTTTAAGAAGATACCGAAAAGAAGGAGTAACTTTAACACTTCCAGAAGGAAAAACGTTAAGAGATATCAAATGGTTTTCGGTTTGGTGCGAAGAGTTTGAGGTAAGTAAGAACGTGGTTCGTTGAATGTTATCGATTAATTCTCGGAGCGGCAGAATCCGACGATTGTAGCTGACAGAAACGCCCCTAGTCCATTGTTGCAAGCCTATGGTCTTTTAATTGCCGTCTTCCATTACGAAGACAAATTTGCGCTCGAGCGGAATGTCGGACCAGCAGTTTCTCCTCGCGGTCGTTTCGTCCCGCCGGAGGGCTTCCGAGATGTGTATCTCTGGCGAGGTATTTGCCACGGTCAGTTTGAATAGATCGACTGAGCTCTGTACCAACAATGGAAGCTATTATTTCCGGTGAACGCCACTGCTATACGTCCGTAGACGTGGAAAATTGTGGGCCAATTGGTTCTGACACAGATCATCATTCTGTTTTCGTTTAATAGAAAATCCGGTCTCATACTTTCATTCTAATTATTAACAGTAAAGATGCTATTACTTTCTTCCAATTATTCACGAAGAAGAATTTCAAGTTAATTTTCCTGCTTTTTTCTCTAAGAGAGAGAAAAGTATGTATTTCAAAAACGTAAAGAACATTTGTTATTTTAACGTTCAAAGTCGTTACACTTTAGGCAAAGTTCCAGAACAAAACCGAACTCGTAAAACTTAAGTGTATTAAAGGAAAATACTCGGTTGAGCAAAAGTTTCTGTGCCGGCTAAATTAATAATAAACACTAGACATCGTTGATTTCCCTTTAAAATTTCTGACCGTATTGTTTCTATATCTTTCGTTTTGAGTTTATTAAAACTGTTTAAATTTAAACAATAATTTTATTGTTTTTCTTTCAAAAACTTTATTAATTATCAAATCCCTGCTCCTTCAAATCTCATACATTTATTTGCAGAAAATTCAGCTATAAAAACCTTTTGCGAATACTCGTGTTGTGTATAAAAACAGTTTTCTCCGTAAATGTACCAAAAATTTTAGCGAATCAGATCAAGTTTGCTTCATAACGTGTTATCTCTCAATTATCACAGCGAGGAATAGATACTTTGAGCACAATTCCTTCCCCATCCCATTTTCACTATCTTTTTGCTTTCGAATTGCGTTAAGGCAGAACTACTTTGTCCTAAAATATTGTTGTGTCAGTATCGCATCGCACAGGGGTATTTGATATCAAAAGTTGGTCAAAACTCTGTTTTTATTCGTATGTTGGTGAATTATTCTGATTCGTCACACGCACTCTCCTCATTTGGTTCTTCGTCTTCATGGACATATTTTTGACTTTCTTGGGTAGAAGTTATTGCAGCTTTTGATGGAAGAAGAAGATGGATGATTTCTTTGGAGAACTATTTCGTTGATTTTCTTGCCAATGGGCGTATACTTGCAATAAGAGGGTCAGAGCTCAAGTAATCTATGTATAACATCTCTATTACACGTCTCTTGAGAAAATTTTCTTGCAAATCGTTGCTATGTACGAAAGTTTTTGATTCTGATTCCAGCAGCCTCCTTTGATAGTTGCCCAATCGGCAACAAAGCACGTGGAATAATTTCAGCACCATGCACTAAAATTTTGTGCATGATTGGTGTCATCGAATGCCAGCTGCATCAAGTAATAAACAACTAAGCTGTTTCGTATATATATGTTTCAAATTTAGGGACATCAATCTCATGTCCACTTGATATTGCTTCCAATATAATCTTCAATCTGTAAATTAAGGTTTCGTCAGCTCCAGTAATTTCGCTTGTCGATTTAGGGCCTTGGAAAAATCTCCTAGCTGAATTGCCGTCATTAGTATTTCCAAAACCTGCTTTTGAAATATCCACTAATATCCACTTAAATAAGTAGTAGTAGATCATTTAAAAAGAAACAGCTTTATTGAATTAGTTGCTCAAAATGTCCACCCAGTTGCTGTATACATAGTCTAGCTCTTCTTAGAATTGAAGTGGTAGCTCTGCTAACAGTCTCAGGATCAGCACGAATAGTTTCTGCGGCATCCATAATTCTCTCTCACCGTAATTACGCAAGATTTTTTAGAAATAGCATTACATCAGTCTTAAAATTAAAGTCTTCTGTGCGTGGTAGTGCATATTTGTACAGTGTGTTAATTAATTATCGTACCCGACGTCATCATTGCAAGTATGCAACCAAATACGCCAATCGCGTATTGCAATACCAATAGTGTGATGTTGGTTGTATACTTGCAATGATGACGTCGGGTAACCAAATACGCCAATTGCATATTGCAATACCAATACTGTGATATTGGTTGCATACTTGTAATGATGACGTAGGGTACGATAATTAATTAACACAGTGTACGTGATGTTACCAAACTAATTTTTCCACACAATTTATTGTAAATGTAATTACCTTCCACACATCTCCTATCTAAATTTCGCGTAATCCCGTCGTCTCCTTAAAATTAGATCGATTAGAAACCCTGAAAAGGCCAAAATTTGCAATTGTTTGAAGAAAATCGATTTTTCCGGAATATAAGAAATTGTTAAGAAAATTTTCTTTTTGATTCTGATGCAAGAAGAGACCAGGAATATAATGCCGTTGAAATGGGATCGATTAGAAACCCCGAACAGGCCGACATTTGCTTATGTTTGAAAAAAATCGATTTTTCCGGAATATAAGAAATGGTTAGGAAAATTTTCATTTCAAATTTGAAACAAGAGGCGACCATGAATACGATGCCGTTGAAATAAGACCGATTAAATACCCCGATCACGCATTTTTTTCAGTTTAAAATCTATGGCCAACTTCACACGCGTGCAATGCAGTTCTGTATTTGCTATTCTATTTTTTTGTTAACCAAGCGTCCCATCCCTGCCATTGCTTTTGTTTCCTGCCTTACTCCACTGGAGATTAGTTCAAATTTATCTCCAACTCCATTTCCTTCCCAGCAATATCCTTAACATTTCATGTAGCCAATCTGCCCCTTTTACCAAAAGAGCTCCTTTGGCTGTTCATTGTATCATGGAACCAACTAGGTTGCAAAACTGTCTAGATAATTTTTTCGTGAATTTTACTGATCCAGTCACTTTTAATGTAATAGATACTTTATTCTCAGATCATATGGCTTTAATCATTGAGTTTCAGACTCCCAAAATTAATAAAAGTAATATTTATAGAACGTTCAGTCCTATAACAGTAAGGGGCTTGGAAACCTTTTTTGATAATGTTTGTGGGTATGACCTTAGTTTTTGTAAAGATATGGAGCTCCACCCCAATTATAAGACTAATATTTTAATTAACTTTTTGAGAAACGCGGCTATGATCGCTTTCCCTACTATAACTGTCAAAGATACTCGTAATCGTGATTCACTGAATATAGCTTGGTATAACTCACAACTTAGGCAACATAAAGAAAAACTTACTTTTCTTTGTGAATTATACAGAATCAATAAAAATCCGTACGTACTTATTGAACGAAATAAATGTCGTAAAGCATACAGGTTAGCAGTGAATCACGCTAAACGAAATGCTACTGATAATTACATCATCAATCATAAAAATCAACCGGCAGCTATATGGAAAATAATTAATACCTATAAGTCTTCTGGCAATGCTGATGGAAAGGATAGTAATTTACACGCGAATGAACTTAATAATTTCTTTTTAAATGTATCGGATAGATTGGCTAATATTTTGGAAGGGGACGAAGATCCGCTGTCGTTTCTCTTAGAACATGTCAATTACACAAATAGGGAATATTTTACCTTTAAAGCTTTCTCACAGGTGGAGGTACGGGATTCCTTTGACACCCTTAAGCCTGGCAAATCGGTTGATGCGTTTGGTTTAAATGCGGTCATGATAAAAAAGGTCAAAAACTGTCTGATCCCAGGACTTACTGCTCTTTTCAATCAGTGTTTAAACACAGGATGTTTTCCTGATAAATTTAAGATGGCAAGTATTTTGCCGCTATTCAAAAAAGGTGATATTGATGATCCTTCGAACTTTAGACCAATTAGTATACTGCCAGTGTTGTCGAAAATTTTTGAAATGCTATTGAAAAATCAATTAATCAATTATTTTGAAACTAATAATATTTTTAACAAACAACAATTTGGCTTTAGAAAAGGACTCTCTACGGCACTGGCTATACAAAATTTTATCGAGTATGTGGTCGATGGTTTTGAGGGTTCGCAATACACTGAAGCTAGTTTTTTGGATCTTACCAAAGCTTTTGATTGCGTGTCCCATTCTATTTTAATACGTAAATTGTACGCTTACAATGTCGCCCCGGACGCTTGCAAGCTTTTGTCATCTTATCTTACAAATAGAAGTCAATTTGTTAAATTTAACTCGGTGATGTCTAACCCTGGGAATATTACAAGTGGTGTTCCTCAGGGGTCAATTTTGGGTCCTATTTTATTCTTAATATATGTAAATGATTTGCCTTTTTTCCTGAGTGGTGGAAGCTCAAGTTCAATCTTGTATGCGGATGACACAAGTTTTCTGACAAAACATGATTCTGACGTTGATGCCAGGGGATTGCAAGATTTAATGTTAAAATCGGCAAGGCATTGGTTTGCAAGTAATCGTCTAACACTGAATGCTGATAAAACAGAAGTAATGACCTTTACACTAAAGCAAACTACTATTAAATCCTATGTAGCAGATAGAGGAGTCAGGTTTTTGGGTGTTCATCTGGATTCCGGGCTTACCTGGAATGTTCATGGTGAGAAATTAGCCTCACGCTTAAGCTCCGCTTTTCTATTGGGTCGTCTGTTTTCCTCTACTCGGGTATTGCGTTCCGCGTATTTTGCGCTTTTTCAGAGCCATCTAAGTTATGGGTTACTGGCCTGGGGACATGCCCCGATCAATAAAAGAATATTTGGGATACAAAGAAGAGCTATTAGAAATGTTGCTAACTTGAACTATACTGATGACTGTAGGCCTTCTTTTATCAAATTAAAAATATTAACACTTCCTTCATTATATATTTTGGAATGTTTAAAGCTCACTTTTTTACATCATAGTCAGCACAGGAAAAATAGTGATGTTCACAATTATGGCACTAGGGGGAGGAATGACATTCGACCGGAGGCACTGCGACTGGAGAGGTCGAGAAACGCATATAATTACTATGGAGTGAAGTTCTTCAATGTCTTGCATTGTGGTTATAGAAGCTTATCTTATAAGGCTTTTGTAACCAAAATTAAAAATGTTTTAGTGGGGAAGGCGTATTACTCCATAGATGATTTCTTAAACGATATACAGTCCTTCGATTGATATTTTTATGATGTATTACGACTGTGCCTTTGTCGCTACTGGCCGCACACCGATTTATTACACCGATTATTTTATCAGGGGTTTAATGTAATGTAATGTATTTAGTAATTTATTCTTTCTTATATATGTTTTTATGTTGTATTTCTATTTCGATTGTGACGAATGTATGCCCTCTGGGTTATTAACATAATAAATTATTATTATTATTATTATTGTAATGTCTTTTATCGATATCGCTGGCGTTAAACTTACTTACTTTTTGCAGGTAAGGTTTGGTTACATTTTGTGATCATTTGCTTTTGGCCGGTGTCTCCTCTACTCTGCATACTCAGTTCATCATGTTCTGCTGTTAATGTTTCGTTATTCACCACCAGTTTGTTGTATCTTATGTATGCGCGATATCCTTTCTTTCCGGCCTTTTTCAATTATTATAGAGTCAACAACTTTCTCTCTGCTTCTATTTTTTGGAACTTTTATCTTAAATGAATTGGGTGTCAGTTTAAGTTGGCTGGCTTTATGTATGAAATTAATGTTGTCTCTCTTATCATCATCTTGTGCCGTAGTTTCTGGAGTATAACGGATAGCTCCGCTTCTTTAAGTATGGCTAAAGTCCCTTCCAGATTCATCGTTAATTGTAATTAGATACTTAATTGTAATTGTTAGAACAACTATTGTATATAGTGCTTTTATGGTACTATTGTAACACTTTGTCTTCTTATTCTACCAAGATATTAATGTTGTTTCCAAAGTGGGTTATCCACAAACAAACTTTTGGTAAACTGTCTCATCCGCTTGAATTATTGACACTCTACGGCAACTTTACGTTTCCCAAACGATTATGGTAATCGCTGAGGAACTTCCAATTTACGCGCATCGTCGCGTGCAAAACCGCAAGCCAACCCAACCGACTAACCAACCGATAACAACCACCTTCTGCCTACAACCGTCTCATTATCCGCAATTATTTTCGCGGCAGCAACAACGACAGCGTTTCGTAATTTCTTCTTTGGGGTCGCCACAAAAACAGTTCCCACAATTAGGGACGGATTTCCACTTTTTTGTTGTCACTGTTTGTAAATTATAAATTAAAGCTACAGTTTCTCATTTCTAGGTGAACTTCGGCGACGTTAAAATTCCAAGGAACTTTGACTTCCCACGCCCACAGAAGTTAGCGGCTCTTCAAGGGGTTCATGGTATCTCCTCCGATAACATCGTGGTCGTTGATGCTCAAACTTTACTGGTTCCTAACCTTTCATACGATGGAGAAGCACCAGGTAAGAGAGAATTTAATTTAATGCAATTCACAAACTCTTCTAAAAACAAATTATAAGGACTAAAAATAATAAAGTAAATAAAAAATTCATCTCGGTTTGTATCGTTGTAAATTCCAGTGGTAATTTAAAAATCCGTCGCCAATAACAATAACTCGTCCCCCTCACAAGCCGATTCACAATACTTCTCATCAATCTCGGGTAAACAAGAAACGCGAAAACAACGCTGGATGAAACGTACAGATAAACAGAGAGAACGAATGAAAGAGAGACATTATCAATCCCTTTTACTTCCTTTGTGCTCGACTCGTCACCGAAACAAAACCCCGTCATTGTTTATGAACGCAGGACAGAACCGCCAACGAACGAGACAGATAAACGTCGAGAATACAAATTCGCGGAGGGGTTGGAAAAATCGGGAAAACGAGCTGGATTTTCCATCTCGACGGTGCCGCTCCCTTTCCGTTTATAGAATCGATGGACGTACTGACCGGAACAGCCGAAACTATTTCCGATCGCGTAAATGTCAGAATGTAAAGAATAAATCCGGTATTTTATAACACGAATTTTGTGGTGAGCCGAAATCCTTTTATGGATAACGATTATTATATGTAAATATTAACTGAAAATCCCGAGATAAAACCAATAACTTTTAATACTATAAGTCCATGCTTTACTTTAATATAACGGGTTACAAAGAATTATTAATACGTTTTAAGAATATAATTAACGCATTCTTTATAGATGCTAAATTCTGGACTGGCCCAGGTCCAAAACCATCACCACAAGGTATTAGAATCCCCGATGAAAATGGAAAAGAAGTCCCATTGAGAAGATACGATAGAAAAACGGTCGTTTTAACATTACCAGGTGATCTAACAATCTTTGATATCGGTCATTTTGGTATTTGGTGTGAAGCATTCACAGTGGATTTCGGCCACATTCAAATTCCACAAAACTTAAACATTCCACCATCACTTAAAATGCTTGGAGTAAGCCCTCAGGTAAGTTTCATTTTTTAATTTAATTAATCTAAATATTCGTTTAGCTTTAATTTTAAACTTAATTACATGGTGGCAGATGCGGTTTTTTTCTATGTATATAATGCAGGAGGCATCATTTTCATCATCATCATCATTTCATGTAATTCATCTTGTAAATACCATCATCGCAATCATTTTGACTATTCGTAACGTTAAGAAAAAATATAACTAAAAAATAAAAGGAAGTGAGAGTTTGGAAGTTATAACTCAACGGCATAAAAGTTCGCCCGTGTTTAAAGAAACAAGGAAGCCTCGCGTTTTACTCACCAGGATTTTGTGAAAAATCGCTGGTTCTTAATCTTTTTTATGGGCAATCTGTTTCCGGTGACTTTACAGACGTCAGAAATCGTGAAAAATCGCCGCAACGGGGCAATATTCGACTTGATTATCAGGGGTAAAAGGGGAGAACCACCCGCGTTAAATTGGAGAACGATTTATCCTTTCCACAAACAAAGAGCGGGTTGATCGATTTCGCATATAGAAATACTTTCACACCAACAAAACTATGTAAAAAATTGAGTACAGTAAAACTTTGATATAACAGACAAAATATTTTTAAGTCGTACTATTAATATCTCCCGAGTTGTCTATACGATGAGTAAATCAAGTATAGGTTGTTCTAGTTTTAATTGTTATTCAGTGCTAGATTGTTGTATATTTTCATTGAACGAAAAGTAAAACTAACACTAGAGCTAGAACTAGAAACATTCGGGTCTAGCCGTCTTAAGAGTCGCACGGCTAAACCCGAATGTTCCTAGTTCTAGGTTTAGTGTTAGTTCTAATACTAGTGTTAGTTCTAATTTTAGATGTTATTCAACGTTAGATTGTTGTATATTTTTCATTGAACTAAAACTAGAACTAACAGTAGACTTAGAACTAGAAACGAGTCGAATGCGGACGGTCAAAGTGAGTGCACGTGTTCTAAACAAGTATTGCGAGTCTCATAACCAGTTAGTGTTTACAATTTCATATACAGTGATACAATAAAGTCTACATACAGCTCAGAAAATGATAGTATATCAGCTCCCGAAATGTAATTCAATGAATTTTTTTAACAAAACATGTAAGAAATCCATATTATTTCCATATTTTACATAAAAACTATATAAATTATTATTAATCAAGAGGAACACAAAACATAATCATATCTTTAACTCAAAAAAGTCTACATAGAGTCCTAAAAAAAGTATATCAGTGTCCGTTACAGCTCATTAAAAATACCGGAAGTTGCCTATATCTCGAGTAATATTGGAATTAAACGTATCATGTTTGGGCTCATTTTAAATGACATGATGCATTTATAATATATCAAAAAATAAAAAAGATAGAACGAAAAACATTAACCTTGAATATTTTTAGTTCTAGTTATAGTGTTAGTAACAGTGCTAGTATAAAACTAGAACTAACAGTAGACCCAGAACTAAAAAGATACTTTCTAGGTCTAGTGTTAGTTCTAGTCTTAATTATTATACAGCGATAGACCAAGAACTAGAATCATTCGTACGCTTAAACCCAAATGTTTCTAGGTCCAATGTCAGTTCTAGTGACAGTGCAAGTGTAAAACTAGAACTAACACTAGACCTAGAACTAGAAAGTATCTAAGTTCTAGGTTGCTCAGAACGATTGAAAACTGCATCAACATTGTCTAAAATAAAATTGCTTTATAAGGTAGCAAAATTTTTCAAAATGTTTCGAAATAGGTTCATAGCCATCTCATGTTATTCAAAATCATTGCAAATTGGTTGAGCCTAATTTTATACTTGTCTAAATGATTAACAACTAGTTTTTAAACAATCCATGTTGCTCAAAATGACTCAAAACTAGTTGATAGTCATTAAAAACTTGTCTAAATGTATAAGGACTAGTTTATAGCAAGCCCAGGTTGCTCAGAATGACTGAAAACTGTACCAACATTGACCAAAATTGCTTTATAACGTAGCAAAATTGTTCCAAATGATTAGAAATAATTAAACTAAAATTAGAACTAAAACTAGAACTAACACTAGAAACTTTCGGGTTTTGCCGTGCGTCTTTTAAGAAAAGGTTTGACGTTTCGGATGCCATAATGCTTTAATTAAAGTAGAGCCGAGGAAAAAATCTGAAATTATACCACTGCTTTAAATGTCAACGTTTTGGTCATACTAAAAATTATTGCTTTCTAAAACCCAAATGTGTTAAATGCGGCGATGAGCATAATCATAAGGATTGCAAAAAGGAAAAGAGCAATCCCCCGAAATGCGCAAATTGCAGTGAAAAACATGCAGCCAATTACAGAGGTTGTCGCGCACACACGGAACTACAACAACTACACCCACGTCCGATGAGAAGAACTACCACTAACTCAATTTATAGATCCACTTTCCGAACATCAGATCCTAATGTGTCATTTGCCAACATAACCCAAAAAAATTTACCATCCCAAAACACCAGTACTTCAAATCCACCTCCTAAAACATCAAATAATCCCGAAATGTCTACCATTGTTACATCAATCATGAACCTACTAAAACTAATCATTACACCACTAATTTCGCAAATTAAAAATTACTTACTGAATGAATTATTCCTTTCCTTCCCACATGCCTAATCTCCCCATAAACGAAATCAAAAATATCACTATTTTAAACTTTAATGTGAATGGTCTGAAGAAGCAGCAAAATTTACTATTGGCTTTTTTGGCTCGTTATAATATTGATTTAGCATGTATCACCGAAACTCATCTAGTTGTGGGAGAAGAGTTCCGAATACCTGATTTTAATATCTATAGATTTGACCAACCCAACCGTAATAATTATGGTTCTCTTATAACAATTGGAGATCTAAATAGTAAATTGAAAATATGGGGATGCCGAGCTGATAATCCATCAGGTTCATGTCTAGAAGAATTATCAAGTTGACATCAGATGCAAATACACAAGCCAAACTCATATACCTATTATCCATACAGAGACGATCATCTACCTGACATACTGGATATAGTTATCACCAAAAACTTTAATCTTTCTTTAGCTCAAACAGTCATAGAGGAATTGAATTCTGATAATCTCCCGGTTATTACCACTGTCGAAATGGAAATTACCTTTAAACCGCCTATTCCTAAATTGATAAATGGAATTGTAGATTGGGAGGCCTTTGAATCAAAGATGAGCAGTATTAATTTACAAAATTCGTTTTTCAATCCTACCTCAATAGATAGGTCAATCTCATTACTTACTTCAACAATCAAAGATATTACTAGAAAGTTTATTAAACCTATCTAACCTTTGCTGATTATCTTGAATTAACATTTACTCCTCACATAACTCGAAAAAGCATGTCTTCTTCTTGTACTATTCAAACATATAATGAAACTCATCTTCCGCGAATAGAAAGAGTAGATGAAGAAGTAACAAATGAAGAAATCAGATATTTAATTAACAATCTACTCAATAGAAAGGCCCCATGGCATGACCTTATACCAAATCACTTAACTGATATCTTTAATTCATGCTTAAAAATTGGTTACTTTCCGGTGACTTGGAAAAAACCTGAGATAATAATGTTTCCCAAGCCAGGAAAACAGAGCAGTCTTATATCTAATTACCGTCCTATAAGCCTCATACCGACTCTCCCAAAATTGTTTGAAAAAATTATAATACAAAGACTTCAAGATCAGCTGCTGGAAAGAAATGTTATCCCAAACATACAGTTTGGTTTTCGAACGGGTCATTTAGCGATCCACCAGTTGGTGCGTTGTACAGAATCCATTGAGAAAGGTTTTGAAAATAAGCAATACACCACTATCGCCTTTTTAGATGTAGCTAAAGTCTTTGATACAGTTTGGACAGAGGGATTAAAATGCAAACTATTGCATCTAGGTCTAGATGACTATATTAGCGCAATACTTATATCATATCTTCAAGAACGAACTTTTTGTGTGAGAATAAATGGGACCTATTCAGATACAATGATACAATGTATTGTCACCAACCTTATTTAATATATTTATGCATGATATACCGCGTCAAAGATGCAATGAAAAAGCTTTGTTTGCTGACGATATGTTGATTATGACCCAAGGTAGTGATTTGGAAGAAGCTATACAACAGCTACAAGATGCTATTAACGACGTGCAGAAGTGGCTTACTAAATGGTTCTTAAATGGATAAAGCTGTCAAATACTTAGGCCTGCATCTTGATCAACGATTAAATTGGGGTATTCACCTAAACAACAGATTGAATTTGGGATATGCCCGATTGAAACAACTATTTCCTCTAATAAATAGAAAAAGTCATCTGAAAACGTGATCTTTGGTCACCTATGCTTGCCCGGTATGGAGTAATCCTTCCGCAACAAATATCCGAAAATTACAAATTCTACAAAACAAAATTCTACGGACGGCAGTAGATGCGCCGTGGTTTATTCGCAGTGAATAACTTCACGCTGAACTAAACATAATGACTATTGAAAGTTTTATAAGAGGCGTAACTAAAAAATTTTATTGTAACTTTAACGGTGTAACTTTAATTTGGGTTTCAAAAATTTGCATCAGCGACTTAAAAGGAAAATGCCTCAAGACTTATTGTAAATTAAGCTTAAATTAGATTCCCTCGGAAAGTTACTTTGTTCCTTAGTGAATTCAGCAGTTATGTTAATGTAAATATGAATTCAACCATGATGTAACATGTTATAATGTATGTTGAGCTGGTTTTAATAAATAAAAAAAAAAGGACTAGAAACATTCTGGTTTAGCCGTGCGTCTCTTAAGACGGCTAAACCCGAATGTTCCTAGTTCTAGGTCTAGTGTTAGTTCTAATGCTAGTTAGTTGAACTAACTAATAAAGAACGCAACGGTGTGGATAGATATTCGACTTTATGTGTATTAAAATTATTCATTCAAACAGTTTAAAGTGCAAATGAAAAATTTTTCATATAAAGGACTTTTGGATATATCGTATACTTCCTTCCCCGTATTAATCCATAATATCGAGGTTTTACTGTATTTGCGAAAATTTTTCTCCGGAAGAAAGTGTTTATGCATTCATTATAAATAATTCATAAGCAAGAAGTAGAAAAAAATATCAAGTCTAATAAGCAATTCAAATAGGAAAGGTTTGTCTGTAACTCCCACTGTTTTGAAAGCTGAACCTCAACCGAATTCAACAAAACCTACGTCGGCGGGGAAAGAAAATGCGAGAAAAAAATGTGTAGTGTGTTCTTTGTTTTGTTATAGAGCAAAACACCACGGGGTTCCAACAAACACAAGAACACAAGAGGATAAATCTCTACTTTAAACAAACCATGTAATTAAATAATTATACTATATGATACAACACACAAATTTCATTAATTACAGTTAAATGTTAAATATTAAATGCACAAATTATTTTAAATAAATAAAAATAAAAAAATCATTAATCATAAAATGTTTAGTGCATATTTTTATCAATGCTTAATGCTTGATTATTTTTTCACAAAGCTTTTCAATCAAGTTCTCTTTATTTTAATACAAATTATAAACATCACTTTTGCACAAATCTTTTCGCTTTCTATTGAAAAAAAAAACAGAATTCGCTAAGGTTGCTTATTCTAAATGTTCTCCTGCTGCTTAGTGATTACCTGTATTGTTACAGAAACCCCCAAGCATACCCCCAAGTATATCTTATACACAATCTCCTGCAAGATCATCTCATCACTTTGCAGGAGGACATTTAGAAGCAACTACATATAGACCACAGCAACACGTTCACTTCACTAACAACCATCAACACTCGCTGGTTCAAAGGAGAATTCTTCAACAGAAAGACGGTACACAAAGGGAACAACAAATTGTTCAACAAATCCCACAACAACAAATTATTTCGCAACGAATTGAAAATATCCCCCAACAAGTTTTCCACCAAAACCATTTTTTTCATCAACAACCCCAACCAATTTTATTACAACAGCCGATTTATCAAGTTTCTGATCGATTAGATGAGTATCAAGTGTCTGCCAGAAAACCGGTACCTTACACACCTTTTAATTTCGTTCAACAGAGTCAATTTGGTGCGAATAATGATAATAAATTTCAGTTTCAAAATCACCATTTCGGGTGAATTTTATGTAATAAGAGCTTTTAACCAAACTTTTTCTTTAATTTCTAGTTATATTGGGTGATAACAATTTTAATAATATTTATCAATAACAAAGTAGTGAAAAAATGGGCAGTATTATATTATTACTAAAATTTCTAAAAAAATATATATCTCGGTAATAATGAAACATTCGGACTTTCATCAAGGTTCGCAAAATAATAAACTTGAGATTTAATCAGCACGCTATTTTTCGTTTGAGTTTTTTTTGTTTGATGAATTGAGTCAATTTGAAAACAAAAACGTTAAAAAAAACTTAGTACTCACGAAGGCCAAAGGATAAGAAAAAATAAAATCCGTGGACTTTATGTAAGTTTTTTCGGAGTCCCTTGGTAATTTATCACCGAGAACTTTGTGGTGGTTCGTAGCTTTATTATGCGAGATAAGGTGGCTTTATTTAGGGCAACGGGGTTCGCCTGACGGAGGTTTTAACTTATTGAATTTGCAGGCTCGGCTTGAGCGGAAACCGACCGCGCATTTGCATGTTAATCCGCCGTGAATTTCATAGTGACCGCTAGATCTTAATTTTACGAGATTCGCGATGACAAATTTACGTAAAAATTTTAATCAGTATTATTTTTTCTTGCGACTTTTTTATACATTTATTTTTATTATTACCAGGCCAGCCGATTTATACTAATAACATTTGTATATATTAGTGGATTTAAATAAACAAAAACCGTATTTCCGCATTTCATTACACATCTAACAAAAAACCATTTGAATTAATAGTAGAAATAGCAACTTTTAACTTTAGTGTAAACATTCACATTATGGTAAGTATAAAATATTGTTACATCATGCATGATTATTTTTATTAATAACAATAAATTAAAAAAGAAATAAAATTATTTCAGTCTAAACTCAATTGTGAAGTCCTACAAGATAAATTAGCTTTCGAAGTTCGGTGGGCTGTAGCAGGAGACAGCATCGTATTACAACTCGTAGCAAAATTAGGTGAGAACCAATCTTAAAAAAATCGTACACACACTCTCACTAACAAAAAAAAATTAAATTACGCAAGTTTTCATCACGACTTGTACTAAAAAAATTATACTTCGACTTTCACTTTGAAATAAACTCCCTCAAGAAGGTCATCGTCCCAAAAAGTAATAAAAAAATAAGTAAATTATTACACGAAGTGAACAGATACGTTCTCTGGAACGTGTTAAAAAGTTTCAGGGGAAAAAGGCCATAATTCACGACCGCTGCGGGTCAAGACCTCAAACACTATAAAACACCCTTTAAAGATAGCTTTATAAAAAAGATATCTTTACTTTCTTTATATCTCTTTTACTTTCTATATATATTTTTTACTTTCTTTCTGTAGCTTTACTTCCGATACTACCTAAAATTCCTCTCTTTTACAGACGACGGCGAGTACATGTCTTTTGGAGTTTCTGGAGACGAAAAGCACAGCTCTATGGTCGGAGGAGACGTTGTCGTAGCTTGGATAGATAAGGATACATTGAAAGGATACGCTCAGGACTATTTCTTACAGGATAAATCACAATGTTCAGGACCGACGGGATCTTGTCCGGATGAAAAACTTTCTGTAAGCAAAAACACTTATTTTATATCGAAAATTTTAAAAAGATGATAAATTATTAATATGTTTTAATTTTCAATTTTTCTTGCGACATTTGGCTTTAATATAAAAATGTATGCAATACGTGACAACTTTTTAGGTCAAAAATTCAGGTGAAATGTAAGTAATTGGAAGAATACCGTGATCAGAAACGGATCGGTTTATAGATTTTATGATTACTGTTTTCTTTATCTCGTTGTACTTGAACTTGAACACAGTACTTATTTTATGTCAGTATTTAGTACGTAAGATGCAATAAATAATTTCAATAAAGGTTGATTAAAGCGAAGCGCTATAAAAACAATTAGAAAGTGAAAATTCCATTCGACAATCAATAATATCTGGATTAAAACTCAGAAAACCACTTATAGTGCAAATGCAAAAACCACATGGTGTTTTTAATAGAAGATTAACTACAAAAAGAATACCTATTGATGGAAAAATTATAAAAGAAAAACACTTACAATTAGAATATAGAAGCAACTGCAGAAATTGGATGTAACAATAAGTCCATCCAGGTCAGACTTTCTAAAAAGTCACGCATTTCACACTGCAAAAAAAATTTTGCAAAAACCTTTCCGGATGAACTAACAAAAATCTGGTTATACTCCAGGCCACACGTTTAATGTCGACGAAACGGGATTATTGCGAAAAAAAAGCCTAAAAGCACGCATATAGCAAAATCAGGTTTTTGACGTTCTTGTTTTGTAGTATCGTATCTGGTGATAACATGTTAATGAACAAATCTTTTATGCCACGAGCATTAAAAGGTAAGAATATTAAATAACTTCCACTTTACTTTATGGCGAATATAAAAGAATGGAATTGGTTCAATAATTGCTTTTTCCTAAAGTGCAGAAATACAGGGTGTTTATTAAGCATGCGGCAAAAATTCAAGGCGTTATTCTTTAGGCTATTCTAAGAATTGTTCTACGAATATTTTGTCCTTTAATGATTTTTGTAAATCCGCTTTGTTTCAAAGATATACGGCAAAACTAAACTTTCAGCAGAGCCATTTTTGATATTTTCAAAGCGTTTAGCATTCTATCAATGGGTCTTGAGCAGATTGGTTCAAATAAAGAATTTTCACAATAACCATGTGTGAGCTGAACAAAATCCACATGAGGTAAGTGAAGAACGATTTCAACATCAGTTCTCGTTGAACGTTTGGGTTGGAATTGTGGGTAACTGGCTAGATGGACCAGTATTTTTACCAAGAAGACTTACCGGCGAAGTATATTGCAACTTTTTGGAACAAACGTTACATCAGTTTCTGGAGGATGTACCATTGGCAATAAGAAATTCAATGTAGTTTATGCACGATGGTGCAGCAGCACATTTTAGTAAGGTCGCTCCTGAGTTTTTGACAGTAACATATGGAAATCGCTGCATTGATCGAGGTGGACCTCACTTAAACCCTTTGAATTTTTTCCTTTTTTCTATGGGGCCATCTTAAATCTTTAAATTACACTACTCCAGTGGAAAATGTGGGCGGAATCATATAACTGCTCTCTGTAATTCAATAAGAAACGATCCTGGTATTTTTGAAAGGGTTCGGCAGTCAATGACGAGAAGATTGCATTCTTGCATCTTAGCTGGAGGAGTTTTCAACAGTTATTTTAGATTAGGATGCTTATATTTGTAATTTTTAATAATAAAATGTTGTTGTTATTGAAATCTTTGTTCATGATGTATCTTGGAAGCAAAACGGTTTTTAAAAATTATCAAAGGATAAAATATTCTTAGAATAGTCCAAAGAATAACCCTTTGAATTGTTGCTACATGTTTAATACACATCCTGTATATGGAAGAAAATCAAAATACTTTTGCTACTTGATAATGCACCCAGCCACGCAGCGTTGGATCATCTAAATCGCTGTCAATTACGGTTTTTGCTCGATAAGGATATTATAGCATCATTTAAAATGTACTACATAAAGCAAAATTAAGATATTTGGCTGTTGTGGAAGCATGGAGAAAGTTTACGATTATGGATTGTATTACACATTCTTCTTTTGCCATTAAACAGTCTATTGACCTTAAATCGTTGTTGGAAAAAAATTTGCTAGTATGCATCAAAAGTGTAAATTTCGTAATATAAAAATCACCTGGTTGTCTAAAATTATAACTCTATAAAATACAATTGATGGCGAAGGTTTTAACAACGTACAAACGACTGACATTGATGAATTGATGCGAGAAATCTCCTTAAATGAGGATGATTTCATCAAATTTATGACAGTTTATGATGATAAAGAAGTCTATAATTACGAAGTCGGAGGTGACGTTCAATTATTAATAACTGATTTAATTCGCCAAAGCTTGAAATATGCTATAAGTATGGAAAACATTTTCATCCCGATATGAAACATGCAAAATTTCAACGTAAACTTAAGCATTATATAAGCAATTTGAGAAAACAACTGCTAATAAGAGACGATAGTTTTCATTTAAATCAAATCCAACAGTTGTGCTAGACATACATATCTGAAATATTTACTGATGATAGTTAGAAGTTAGGTGTATCCATGTGCCTCTGCTTCTCCACGTCTCCTCCTTTTGCCCTCTCAGCCATATCTCTCCATCAATACATTCTCCCTAACTCTTCCGTGGTCTTCCTTTCCTTCTTCTTCCTTGTGGTGTCCAGTGCAGTAATTTCTTTGGTTATCAGTCTTGATCCATTCTTATTACATGTCTATACCACCTAAGTTGGGTAGTTCTTATGTCATCTACAATGTCGTGTACTTCCATTATATGTCTTATATCTCCTTTCTAATCCCTTCCAGTCAAGTAATTTCACCAGCTCTTCTTTAGTAATCCATGTTTGTCTTATCCTTTATTATTATCATTATACTTTTAATTATTGAGTTGTATATTCTGTGTTTTGTTTATCCGAGATAGGCAGATCTTGTTGTTCTTCTCCAAAACACATATATTCAGTTAATTTCAAGTTTCTTTTCAATTAAGTTGCATGTCATACTCATATATTGCGACTTGATCGTCACAATAGTATTAAGTGTTGATTCACTACACATTAGTATTTCTATCGTTGGGCATTTTCTCCTCCATCTTAAAAGGGAGACCTTTTGTTGCTGTAAACCCAGATATTAAGGTATTTCCTTTTTTTTATTTGTGCTTTTGAATTATTATGCAACAATTTTATCGTTTTCATTATTTCAGGATTTATGTTAGTTTGTTGTCTTTCCAAAACTTTCCAGAGTTGTATTAGAGGAATACTGTTATACGCTTTTTTTCAACACAAATAGCAAATGCACTTCCTGGTTATATTTTCATTTCTATGATTTGCGTAAATGTAACTAGATGATTAATAGTGGATTTCCCTGCTCTGAAGTTGGTTTATTCTGTTGCCTCCAATGGCAACTTTCATACCTTTGGTACTTTCGATCTATTTATACATTTTTCAAATAGATTTATAAACATCTGATTTAGTTTGTCTGTTACATATTGCTCTCACAGCTCTTGTATATTTAGTTTGCATACACAGTTACTGATTTTTTTCACCTTTGACACAGTTATTATTATTGGTAATCCTTTGGTTATATTTGTGTTCTTCAGAAACTTCTTTCTATTTTCTGCATTTCTTCGAGATATTGATTCAATGTTAGACTTGTTATTGGTGAAACTATATCTTTTATTCCTGTCCTTTTCATGTTCTTGAGTATTCTCCAACTACTTTTTTTCTTCTTCCTAAGTAGGTATTAAATCTAGAGTATGTTCCCTCCCAATTTTCATTCTTTTTTTGTAGTAATCATTTTTTGTACACTTGCTCGTACTTGCTTAATATACAAGTTTATCATTTAGCCCTTTGAAGCTTAATACTATCTTGTATAATATTTATTTTCTATGTCGGATTCAATCTCGTCATCCCACCGATATAGTTTTTGGCGTTTCCTTCCTTTTCCTTGCTACTTTGTGCCTCTATCGGTGTAGCTTTTATGCATGATTTTGTGTATTCATACTTTTCCGCTATGTTATTCAAATTTTTCCCAGTTTAGCATCCAGTCTGATTTTACACAGTGATTTTGTGCTCTTACGTTCTAGACTATTTAGATTGTATCTTGGTTCTGTCACTATTTCTCCTGTATCATTTTCTTATTTCTTTCCCTGTTGGTACATTATTGTTATTAAGAGTATTACCTGTACTTTGAGTAAATGCCGGTTGCTACCATATGAGGCACCTATCTTAAATCTAATATCAAGCACTTTCAAGTTACTTTTTTGTTTTGTAATTACGTAATTAACAATAGTTTTTAGATTCTTACCTATCTTTTCTATTTCTTCATTTAATTGTTTGAAAAATTGATCTTATTTGGCTATTAGGTAGTCCTCAATTACCGTATATACTTCTGGTATGGTTACTTTGTATCCATTTATTCTTGGTTTAGATATAAGATAAGCTTCCTGACCCTTTTCTGTATGACAATAAACACTGTATAAATTGGGGCACCGCTGTATAAATGATATTTTCCCCAATTTTCAGACTTTTGTCTTTTGTCTTCGCCAAGATTGCTATATCCACCTTTAAATGTTTTTGTTCATTTAAATTATTTATTTATTTATTTGCCACATTAATTACTTTTTTTGAGATACCCTAAATATTCCACGTGCCAAGATCCAATGTCCTTTTCTTCTGCCTGGTTCGTCGTCTTAAGTTTTCCATCCTGGTCCGAGGCTCTTGTTTAGGTTTCTTAACATTTTACTTCTTTTCCGAGTATTAAGGAGTTAGACCGATGACTTAATCTCCAATCTGGAAGACCAGTACACTTTTTGTATGGTGGGGTATTTTATTTTCCCACTAACCTTCAGGTATGCTAGGTTGCAAAGCTGACGAGCCTTTGATATTCCTTGAACTTTATCTGTTTCACTTTATATGTGTTAACTTTATATGTTACACGTTCAACCCGAAGCATGGCACGAAGTTAGTAAGTGGCCTTAAAATAACAGTATTTTTATTTCCAATAGTAAAGAATTAAAAGAATTAGCAATTTTCAATATATCACTCAATATATCGCTAATGGTCTACCAAAACTATGTCAATTTCACAACCGGTTGCCCAAACAAAAAAATTGATTTATCGTCAACGATAAACCTTTGCAATTTTCATACATAACCAGTGAATTCTTCAACATAATTATATTTTTTTTTAGCAAATGAACAATATTCGCTTATTAAATGCAGCAACAGTGAACGGTTACTCAATAGTAACATATCAACGTCCTTTAAGAGCTTCTGATCGATTGGATAAACCAATTTTAATAAACTCGACGCAACCTATAATTTGGGCCATTGGACCATTAAATCAACGCAACGAGGTCTCGTTCCATAGTTCTTATACAAAAGGGGATGTTTTTATTGATTTTGGAAGACCTCCAATGTGGAATTGTCCAATGCCAGAATCCGATCCGGTGAATTCAAAAAGAACTACGAATACACAACCCATATTACAACAGCAGCAAATCGAAGAAGTTCGCCCGCAAAGAAATCGTAACGGGGACACTTCTAGAAGACGAGGGCAAAGGCCAACAACCCCTGTACCAGAAGAAGAAGTTACGACGAAGAGGGTCCAAGAAAGACGGCGAGGAGGATCAAGAAGTACAACCCCTAAAATTGTTCAAGCAACTCCCGCACCTGCCAGTAAATTAGATGCTTGGGAAATCCCGCCTATACAATGTAACGAACCTGATGATGGCGTTTTTTATGCTCAAATGGGACCGACTGGGGGTAAAAGGGGTTATCCAGCTATTACAGGTAAAAAAAATATCATAAATTTATTGATTTATTAAATGTATAATTTTTTAGGGCATGTTGGTTGGGGAATTTCTTGGTACATTAACGGATTATTAATCCCGGTTATTAATGTTGTTAGAGGAAAAACGTATAATTTCGTGGTTGAAGGTGGATTAGATTCTAGCATCCCAGCAAAATATCATCCATTTTATATAACTGACGATCCTGTAGGAGGATATGAATATAAAACTGCTGAAGAGAGACAGGTAAAATATATATATATGAATTAATAAAATATAAACTACAAAATGGCTATTTTAAAGCATCAAATTGAAAATGTCAGAGTGGAATTACTCCAGGACTTTACGACTTTAAACGTAAAACCAAGGGGTTACGGTTTCTATAAAGTTAATTCGCGTGTGTTAAGTTTTTACTTTGTTTAATTCAATTTCAAACTATTCTAATTCATTAAAAGAGAACAATTTTATTCGCAGACCTTGATTGCGATAAACAATAACCACTCATGTAACAACGATTTCCTTTATAAAAAATACACAGGAAGTTTTTTATTAGTTTCAAGGCTAAAATATGTGTAAATCTAAAAATAAATTTCTTCTTTTTGTGTCTACAGAATGTAAAAATATTTGCTGGAGTTGATAACATCGACGGAGAAATCACTCCAACAGGAACAGGTAGACTATGTCATTGGACTCATCAAGGTGACAAAGATGCCGATGATTTCGAATCGTTTGGAGCTTATCAACGAACATTGGAATTAAAATGCGACCAAGGTGAACCTGGTGTTATTCAATGGACACCAGACAAAGATACACCAGATACCGTTTATTATCAAGTAAATATTTCAAGATTGATTTTTATTACAACACATTTACATGTATTTTTTTTTACTTTAAGTGTTTTACACATCGCTATTTAGGTTGGAAAATAAACGTATTAGATTCTTGTGACGTCGAAGGTGCCTCAAGCGATTTAAACCCGGTTTACGCTCTACCTCAGGAAAAAATGTTAAAGGAATCTGAAGACCTTGAAAGCAGTCCTTCGTTAGTTGTAGAAATGCGGATTAAACCGAATGCGATTAACCACGACGTGAAAGTAGTTGAGGAACGTTTTGGGGATTTAGCGAATCCTTATGATCAAATTTATTTAACACCAAAAGGAAACAAATCTCAAAATATCACGGAAATTATTCCAATATCAAATGAAACAACTATTGATATAGAAGCTTTTAATTTACAACAACCGAAAGTACCGGAACTTTATCCCATGAACGATATGTCTTTTATAAAACCCCCTCCTTTACCTTCACCAATTTTAAAAAGACGCCCGATAAGGCCGTTGATGAGGAGTTCTATAAAAAATCCAATTAATTTAATGAATCCGGTTATTAATAATCGCGCTATAATAAAAAAATCATATCGACCACCACCAAAACAAGTCAATAAACCCCAAATTTTTCGCCAACAAAACAAAATAAAAGACATTCATGTGGAAATTTCACCACAACAACCATCAACTGACCGCGCTCCAAACGCAGTTAATATCCAAGATTTAAAACCAGCCGTTAACACAGGTTTCCACCCCGAATCGATTGTAATCGAAGGTGGATTTAGACCAATTATTCGAAAAGAACTGGGAGAAAAAGCGACAACTCAACACGGACTCGAATTAGAATACGAAAGCAGTATAGGAGTAATTCCAATTCATCTTAACAAAACGAACCCAAAAAATAGTTTAGAACCAATGTTTATTCCCTCACCTCTCCAAACTTTCAAAAAGAACCAATTAAAAATGTTTAAAAGAAAAGCTCAATTAAAAAAACGTGGCCCAAAATCAAATGATGAAGACGGAAATGACGATTATATTGCTGAAGCAGCCGAAAGAGTAGAATCATTTTATTTACCACCTTCGGATCAAAAACCGGCAAACGTTGAACAACCACCAGAAACGGTAATAGCATTCGATGGAAAACGGATTTCCGGGTCGAGTTTGACGGTAAAACTCGATACGTCGCCGTACGGAGCGGAAGCGAGAGCTTCAAAAGCACAATACAAACCATTCTCCGGCGAACTTCCACCTTTAAATCCAAAATTCTACGATTTAAATGCAGCGCAATTACAACCAAAGGCACATTTAAATCGGGAATTAGACACTCCCGATTTACCAGCGTCCCCTACAAAATTAAGACCGATCCGAGAAATGAAAGAGATGAATCGAAGTAAAAGATCGCCTCATCATACACCGGAACATACCGCAGAACAAGAAAAAATGATGAAAGATAATGAAACGACGACGATGGAAATGAGTAATTCTCAATCGATTTTAAAATTGAGTAGTTATATTATTTTGTTTGTATTAATAATTAAGGTGTTTGTAAACTAAATAAGCCAACATTGTTTATAAAGAGAGTCAGTCAAAAAATTTATAACTTAAAACTGTAAAGTAGTGGTAAAACTTATATTATACTGAGTGAGAAATTACTTTATTATTATTGAATTAAATTTTAATACTCAAAAACAATTTCAAATCTTTCAGAAATTCAATGAACTCTACGAAAATTTCTATACAGCATGTTAAATTAAAACCATTGATTATGTACTATTAAATAATATAAAACATTTAATGAAAATTGAATGAGCATTAAGAATATTAAAGTTAGGTTACTGTAATATTCAGTTATATTTTTGTCCACGGTTTTCGATAATGTAGTTAACAACCTCAGGAGAAGTCTGTTAAAATGATGCGTGCAAGAAAGAAGCAATAAAACTTTTATAAATTAAAATATTCATATTATTTTTCCTCAGCAGAAGATACTTTGAATATTATTATAGTTTCAATATGTTGTTAAATGTATCTATACGAACACTTTTCACGATTTAAAATACCTTTATTTATATTAAATTATATTATTAAAAATAGCAAGAATGAGGAAAACAATGTCATGCATGTTGAGAAAATTAACACATTTTTTTGTGGTCACTGTAGGTTTTCGTATCTTTAATTATTTAGTAGAATGACAAGATTCAAAGAGTCATAAAAAAATCGTTTCGTAATAGGAAAGATCCATTTAGGTATTGCAGATGATACTGGAAATGTACAAAACATTCATGTACAAAAACCTTAACTGTTATCGTTTTACAATGTAAATATTTCGGAGTGAACTTCCAAATTAGCGGATTCAACCATTAATTATTATTCTGTAATTCTGCATCCAAGAAACGTTCGAAGCTCATCATGAGATAATTCTTAACAAATGAGCTTTAATTTGTCTAAAAGCTGTGAATGCAGCTGAGTACAGTGTGTTAATTAATTATCGTACACGACGTCATCATTGCGAGTATGCAACCTATATCACAGTATTGGTATTGGTTGCATACTTGCAATGATGACGTCGGGTACGATAATTAATTACACAGCGTACTTAGTACTGATGTACCTACTGAGTACACACTTCCCTTCCTTAAAAGCCTGCCCACACGCAGCTTCCCACCCTGAAGTATCAGGTAGTATCAGGTAGGTTTCGCAGCATAGCTGGGAACATTTTTACATCTAACAGAGTAAGGTGGGCTATTTCTAATTTCAAGCCCCTAAAATCGCCTGGAGGAGATGGAATTCTGCCTATTTTTCTGCAAAAAGGCCTAGAAGACCTGCTCCCAGTAATAATATCCCTATATGGAGGAAAGTAAAGGTGGTTTTCATACCTAAAGGTGGTAGGCGTTCAAACGCCGACCCCAAAGCATACAGATCAATTAGCCTAACTTCATTTCTCCTCAAAAGGATGGAAAAGGTAATCGATCAATACCTTAGGAATGGAGTGCTTGTTACTAATCCGCTCCACCCTAGCCAACATGCTTACCAAAAAGCAAAATAAACAATTTATTACTGCTCTCCATGCTTTGACTTTTGGGACTGGTGTTTCACAGGATAATAGATGGTAGCCTTACTGGCCTTGATCAAAACCGCATTCCAAGTGGATCTCGTACATAGTATATTCCAAGATAGTGGTTCTAGAATGTCCTTCGCAATCATGTCCATCACAAGATTAAGTTTGGAACACCTGTCAGACCAATATATATAACATATTACTGTATGCAGAGAAGGAAAAGCAATAGGAAAACCTTCTTTTCTTCTTAAGACAAAAATTACCAAGAGAATATAAAAACCACAATATTTGCATAAAACGATGACTAATTTATTATAAAGAAATTTCGGTGCTACAGATCTGTTTCGGTTAACTATGTAACCGTCTTCAGGCACGACGTCGTATTTAGTACTTCATTACAAAGGAATTAACAATCATCGTATATATTACATCATGGTGGCGAAGCATCTTAGTGAAATTTGTGGAGTGAAAACCGCGAAAAAAATATTAAAGTTCTTTCTTAAACATTAGCAAAATGGGGGGAACGTGTTGAGCAGTAACAAATTGTGTGCGTTTTATGCAAAAAACTTTTTATTTTCGTGAAATAAACTTATATGAGAGATGAATCGCTATTAATACAAAATTAATTCTAAAGTGAAAAAACAAAATGTAATGAGCTGCGTACTCCAAGAAAACTTGGTGCAGTCTGCACCAAGTTCTTTGCATAAAACGTACACAATTTGTTACTGCTCAACACGTTCCCCCCATTTTGCTAATGTTTAAGAACGTATGTGAATGTATGTGAATATAGAATGAATACATTTCTGAAGTGATATCCTACATTGCCACATTATTACGATATTTGAATAAAAATGAAATTAAAAAGAAAGCTGATAAGTGTAATGTCAACTTATTTGGATCCAAGATACAAAATGAACTTTTTTGATGCTGAGTTAACTAACGAAGCAACACTAAAAAGAGGATACTGTAATTAATAATTGGCGATATTTCGACAAAGATCAAGAAATGAATTTTATAGCGAATTTTGAAATTTTGAAAAAATTGTCGATCATTTCAAAAATTTATTTCTCAAAAACTAAAAGCGATTTTTCAAAACGGCTTACTGCATTAAAAAGAGGATACTTTAATTAATAATTGGTGATATTTTCACAAGGATCCTTCAAGAAATTAATTTTGTAGCGAATTTTGAAAGTTATCGATGAAATTTGCAACATCGAAAATTTTATCAAAACTTCAAATATTGTTTTCTCAAAAACTAAAAGTTATTTTTCAAAACGAGTTGGTTCACTGGAAAGAGGACACTCTTATTAACACTTTGTGAAATTTTCATACTCATATTCCAAGAAGTGGATTTTATACGAATTTTTAAAACTTAATCGGCGAAAGTTGCAAAATTCGAAAAAATTAGAAGCGAAGAGAAGGAAACTAGACGAAACTGCAACAAGATCGTATTGGGATTGTTAAAATGAGGTTGCTAAAGATAAACCTGATATAAATAAAGTTGTATTCAATGAAAAATGTTACATTGGGGTTGAACTTGATTATTATCTGCAGTGTCCAACACCTAAAAGAGATACTAATTCCTAGAAATGGTGGAGTACTATATGGACTAAGTAATAGGTTTTCAATATCCGGCCAAAGCCGGATAGTTGCTGAATATACGTTCCATCACTACTTTGTAGCCTGCTCCGACGTGAATTGTCGAGTGGCTGCATCTTATATTGATCCATGTTTAAAATTACCATTTACACTTGCTTCTGGCAAATAATGATACACACTATGATGAGTTTCCTGCTTTAGTTTAGTTCTTTTTTTTTTGTTGAACAACTTCGAAAGCGGTCTGATCTTTATCAGGCAGAGTTGTAAATATTTCGACTAATTAAAACGAGGTTGCTTGCGGCCAAGGCTCTGTGATTTAAGTTATATCAACCTAAAACTAGTCATCATATTGTAGCGCCTCGACCGCAAGAGACCTTGACTTTATCAAATAAAATTGTAGATCTTTAGAGTGATTAAGAAATCTCTTATGGACAAGTCTTAGTGTTTGAGATTATATCAATCTGAAACAGATCATCATAGTGTAGGAAATTCGAGCAAAAAGACGAGATTGGTACCTAAACTATATCTTACTTAGAATAGAATATCTTCACTTAGAATAGTGAACCGTTAAGTTGAGCAGAATGCCAACGGTTAGAATAATAATATATGTTTCGGTACAAAATAATTGGAAACTCAAACAGATTTATATTGAGCCACCCGAAGTTATGGAAAATTTAGATAGAGCAAAATATGGAGAAATGAATAAACCAGTAGGACGAATTTCATGTAAAAAATCCAAATGAAATGACAACATTTCTTGGAATCGAAAAAGAAATTTGGATCAAGGTTTAAAGATTAGTCAAACAAATAGATACTGATGTGCAATAACATTCAATAAGACTTTTTAAGGCAGGGCTGGTTCGCTTACTTGGTTAAATGTTCTTTCTTCATTAGCTAAGCTTTTCTTGGTTAATCGGCCTTTTCTTCAAGTTGTACACTTGTTTTAACACTTTTCGCTCGGTTTTTAAACATACAGTTCATCAATTCTCTTCACGAAACACAAGATATTTTAACATTCACTCGTAAAGTCGGTAAAGACCGAAATCACAAATCATACTGTCTCGGAAAATTGAGAAAAACCTAAAAAAAGGAACTGGTTCGCCCCCACCCTCAATTAATGGGACGAACCGAAATCAAATAACGAAAATAAACAATGTGATGCGTGAACAGTTTTTGAAAAAAATATACTTATTAAAATTAATGTACAATTGTTTTTAACTTGCTAGATATCACTGCTAACAATTGTATATCTCACTATTTCAAAATTCGTTAGTGCCGAGTTAAAAACATATTTAAAAAGAACATATTTTCAAAAAAGGGAAATCGCGCCTAAAACTTTTAACATAAAAGGTGAAGGTTTATAATTAATAAGTTGGATTACACACAAGATTTGTTAAATAAAGACAAGAAATATTGTAAAATAAACACAAATAATAGGAAGAAAAATAAAATTATTATGGTTTTTAATAAACGTAAATCGCAATAACGTGGTTTCCTGAAGATAAACCGAAACCGGTCGAAACCAAAAAATAAAATTATTTCATCGTTAAGTACGACTATTATTTATATTAATATACCTTAACATATACGACCATAACAAAGAATCTAAACACAACCATATTTTGAGTCGTTTTATTATAATTTGCTCCAAAAATTTGACTTCTCTGAAATTTCTTTTTGATATTTAATAGCTATTGACTAATAGATGGCGCACGAGTTGTTTCTTAATTTATTAAACTCGAAATAAAAAGGAAATTTAATTAAAAGGCAATTTTGTATTACTATTTCTAATAAACTTAATAACCAAAAAAAGTCTTGTATAACAACAAAATTCATTAAAAAGCTATTTGCACGAAAAGCTTTAAATATAATTTCCTATCTGGATTTTTCGTTCGCAAACTAAACTTTGTTGACCAACATAAACTAAATTTAATAGGTGTAGTTCTTTTATGAAAGTTTTATAAACTATTATCATTAATTTTTTTTTAATGCGATTATTATTTAAATTATGTACACACCCAATTTTTTTTATTCATACATTTTTTTTTACATGATAAACATTGTCGTATCAATAACCACTTAAAAATACAAAGTGTAAACAAAGATATCTAGTCCAACAAAAATAAAACGACAAAACTGAACCGGTTCTTTTTCTAATAATAACCACATAAAAAAACTTACCTAGGTTTCGTAAAAAATTAAATTAGCAATCTAAAAAAACCATAAAACCGGACTTCACACACACATACACAATCAAATAACACGTGAACACAGGGAAATAAACTTTTTTATACTTTTGATTGGCAACACTGCACCTGCCATAAAGTGACAGTTAATTAAAAATGACATGTATTTTCGAATCTCTTTCAATATCCCTGTTCTTTATCCACGGAATTTACCAGCTTAAACAGTCAATCTAATTTTTGTTCTCCATATTAAGTTGTTAGTATATAATGGTGATAAGTTTTGTGAAAAATGATGCGAACTACCGCGGACATAACCTATAAACAAACGAATTACAAAATATTAAGAGATAGAGAATTGGGATTAAAAAAATGTATTGGAACCGAGGACGATTTATCAAGGAAATTATATTCTAATATAGATTTTTACGACAACGGGGTTATTTTGGAATATAATTACAACCAAGGAGGAATTTTTAATTTGGAATTTAGTCCCGATGGGCAATTATTAGTTGCCGCTTGCGAAGGAAGAACAGTGTTACTTTTCGACGCTTTCAATTCAACATTTATCAAACAAATACCTAAAGCTCATTTAAGATGTGTTAATTGTGTGCGGTAAGTCGAAAATTAAAAAAAAACAACTTTAAAGTAATCTAATATCTTGTATTAGATTTTTAGATAAAAATACTTTTGCAACATGTTCAGACGATGGTACAATTAAAACATGGGACTTGAGATTTCTAAAAACATCAACAAGAACCCTTCAGGGTCATTCAAATTGGGTGAAGAACATTGAATATTCTGAAAGAGAGCAAGTTTTAGTTACCAGTGGTTTTGATGGATCCATTTATTCATGGAATTTAAAAAATAACCATGACATTTCAATCAGTTATAATAAAGTGTTTAAAATGAGTGGTTTAATGAGAATGAAAATAACACCGGATGATACAAAAATGATCATCACAACAACGACTGGTTATATGATAATTGTCCATGATTTAAATTTAAGTACTATGTATAACGATTTAAAAGACTTCCATGTAATGTCTCAAAATTTGTTTTTATTCTATATTTAGCTAAAATATTAACTGTTTTAGCCTCATTTATATAGGTTAATGCAGATGGGGGATGAAGCCCTCCCAGAAGCAACTAGTTTTAACCCTTTATTTACATCGAGTAGAAACAGGGTTGAATTTGTAGTTGATTTTCCTAATAAAGCTGAGTTAATAAGTTCAGTACAAATTCATCCAATGGGTTGGAGTGCTTTGACTAGAAATATTAGCGATGATAATAATACAGAGGTAAGAATGCGTTGAGATAAATAAAACTAACCATGTTAAGAAAAATTAAAATAGAATGTAATCATTAACACACCCATTTTAATGCTTCACATTTTTTCGTTCTTTGAATTTCTTTCTAATATCTTTTAACCTTCCAATACACGCGCTTATACAGTTATACGCGATAGACTGTAAACCAGAATTGACAATAGAAACGATCGCCGGGCAAAAGATGGCGTTAGTTAGAATTTATTAAATTTGAAATTTAATAAATTCAATAATATGGGTTGATTTAACTTAACCCATTTACATTATGAGCTTAGATATGCGTTGATTTACTACTTTTATTATTATTAATGTATTTTATCAAACTAGAACTAATACTAGCACTATAACCTTCTTTAGAAGCAAGTTCCAAGTGTTTAATATACAGGTGTACAAAAAGTATGGAATAATAGTTCTACAGCCTAAACTTCAACTTATATTAAAAAAAGTTTTAAATAAAAGTTACTTGAAACTATTTTTCGCATATCTTTGCGTAGAAATAAAATAAAAAAGATGACGACATGTGTTTTTTAAATGAAACAACCTGTATATTTTAAGGTTTTTGGATTCCTTTTGACAAGGTGTTGCAAAATGCCATAAAGCTTTAATGCTTTAAACTGCATAGTTTTCGAGATATTGAAACTTTTCTTTAAAAAGATTTGACGTAGCGACAACCAAATTATGGACTCATTATGGAATAGACAACCTAAGCCTTGACGTCACAGGGATGGGCGGGGCTTATACCGACTCCAAACATTTTCGTTGCCAATAGACAACCTAAGCCCTACAACCTAAGAGATGACACCCATCTCTATAATGTCAAGGCTTAGGTTGTCTATTAGTGTTAAAACATTTTAAATAATATTTTTATGGCGATTTATCTTAGCAACTGTGGTAAGCAACGAAACTGTTTGGAGTCGGTATAAGCTCCGCCCCCCTCTGTGACGTCAGACTTAGGCAGTCTATTGAAAAATTGCATATGGGGATTTTTCGTTAGCTACGAAGATGTTTGGAGTCGGTATAAGCTCCGCCCATCCCTGTGACGTCAAGGCTTAGGTTGTCTATTCCATAATGACGCCATAATTTGGTCATATCTTTTTAAATAAAAGTTTCAATATCTTGAAAACTATGCAGTTTAAAGCATTAAACCTAATGGCATTTTGCAACGCCTTGTCAAAAGGAATCCAAAAACCTTAAAATATACAGGGTGTTCCATTTAAAAAACACACTCACCATGTCGTAACTCAGACCGCCGTCATCATTTTTATTTTATTTCTACGTCAAGATATGCGGAAAATAGTTTGAAGTAACTTTTATTTAAAACGTTTTTTAATATAAGTTGAAGTTTAGGCTGTGTAGAACCATGATTCCATACTTTTCCTGTATATAACAACTGGAGTTGAATAACGACTAAAATTAGATTATTGGCTGTTTTGTATGAACATTAATATTGGACTCGTAAATTTTACAATTTAAACGAAATACCACTTTTCACAAAAAAATATTTATTATAAGAAAAAGCAAAAATTACAATTAATTTCTTTGGTGCTTTAGCATAACTGCATAACTACACTCACTTTCACATGAAATACACCACCCATTAAGAATTAGACTACAATTTTGAAACTTCGGTAAAATAATGCTTTATTATATCAACTAAGAAACGATGAATGTTTAGTTGAAAAAACAAAAACAAAAATCAACATTTTTCAAGAAAAAGCTAGTAGTGGGTTGCATCCCCACACGCAGCTATTATTATAAGTGATTATTAAGTGGCCGATATCCTCCTGGGGTATCTCGTTCCATGCAACCTCTAGATGGCGTCGAAGTTCATTCAGATTCTCAGGAGACTTGGGTACTTGTCTTAGTCGTCATATCCCAGACATGTTCAATCGGCGACAAGTCCAGTGATCGTGCAGGCCAGGGCAAAATCTGTAATCCAACTTGCTCCAGGAACCTTCTTGTAACCATAGCAGTATGGGGTCTTGCATTATCCTGTTGGAATGTGGCATTCTGCAACGTTTGCATGAAAAATACTAACACCATGTCCAAAACGTTGTCGATGTAACGACGTGCGTTTAACGTGCCTGGAATGAACGGAATATAGCCCTCCAAACCATAACCTCAGATGTTAAGGCTGTGTGTCGTCTTTGAACGAACTCCAAATTCCGTCTTTCCCCTCGATGTCGCCGCACCCTTCTACGACCATCATTCACCCATAAACAACACCCTGATTCATCACTGAAGACGATGTCATTCCATTGATGAACCCACCCTTGCCGTTCTTGACACCATTCAAGACTGGCTGCTTTATGGGGAGGTGTTAATGGAAGCCGAAGGTAACGACGGTATGCATGAAGCCCAAAGGAAAAAGTTCTTCTGTAAACAGTTGCCATCGACAAGTGTCGGTTCAAAACTCTCGTCCAATCCACAGCAATCGACCTTGTTGTTTGAAATCGATCCCTGGTAGCCATTCGCCTAAGGAGTCGGTATTCGCGTGCGTTCTGAAGGACGGCGCCTCTGAATACCGGTCTATGAAAGTCATTGATATGGGCAAAATTTCGACGACGTCGCACTGGGGGTATTACAAGGGGTCTACTTGACAATCAAATAAACTGACATTTTGTGGGCAGAAATTCATTAATTGCTAGGAAGAAAATATTGAAAGTTGGAGATAACAATGATACAGGAAATATAACAGTTGAGTTTTTTCCGCTGAAACTTTCATCGTTTATTAGTTGATAATAAAGCATTATTTTATCGAAGTTTCAAAATTGTTGTTTGAATTTTAGTGGATTTCATATGAAAGTGATATAATGAGATTGTATTAAGAGCATTTTTATTGTGTATGTATTACACATTGTACAAATATAGCCTCTCTGCTCATTAGAAATAGCATGTTTGCAGTATGTAGTGATCATACGTCTTTTCCTACTTAAGCAGTAGAAACAAAATTTCGTTTCTTGTTTTCAGATTCAGATTCTTCGTCGTTGCCAGAAATCTTTAGGATACTATTTATACCTATTTCATGGTTTTTTCTTAGATTTTAAACAATGTGTTTCATCTTCAGATTAACTAAGTTCTGATTCCATGTTATCCACTCCCAGTCACCGTCATTGTCTTCAAAAGGTTCGAGATCACCCTCTTCGCTATTCATTATTCGTTGTACTTCTTCATCTATTTCCTTTTGCATCAAAGGTTTTTTGAAAGACATTTTTCTGTGACATTTATTGGAAAGCGTTATCGCAAAACTATGAACATTTTTATGTTAGTTATGGACACTACGTAAATACTGGACTTTCGTATAATTCACGAATTCTAAAGTCTACAATAATCGGCAACGCAGTCGAATTTGTAAACAACGCTCCCATCACTAGTTAACTAAACACTGTAGAGGAAAGTAATGAAACACTGAAAGACTTAAGTGATGTGAGAGTAATCAAAATTTTACAAAGTTGAACGAGCGTCGTAAAATTTCCGAATGTCCAGTAATCTAGGGTCAACACTATCACTAGATCTAGAACTAGAGACATTCTAAATTATCTAGTTCTAGGTCTAGTGTTAGTTCTAGTTCCAGTTCAATAAAAATATACAACAACGTAGCCCTCAACAATAACTAACACTAGCACTCTTCTAGAATTAACACTAGACCTAGAGCTAGAAACATTCGGGGTTAGCCGTGCGTCTTCAATATGGCTAAACTTGAATCTTTCTAGGTCTAGTTTTAGTTCAATAAAAATATACCGGGTGTCTGTATCTCGACAATGGTAAGGCCTAGGGGTTGGCAAAAAGTTCATATCAGCACAGTGGGTGTGAGCTGAAAATTATTTTGAAGTCGTATTTCCACCGCTAAGGGTCGCAACTGCCATAAAGAAACATTAAATTCCTGCTATCTCGGAAATTTAGGTGATGAGCTATAATTTTGACAATATCATTTGGTAGTTTGGATAATACCTAATCATTTTTCTTTGTGACATTTCTCATATCTATCACAATAAGGGGTAGGCCAATGCGTTTTCAAATATTTACATTTTCATATCTCCTGGAGCATTCAACCGATTTGAATATATTTGCTCTTGTTTGAAAGAGCATTTTATGTTCTTTCAAAAGATATTTTTCGTAAGGCCGTTTGGTTTAAATTAAATAAGCTAGAGGACGATATCTGCAGCAATTAAATATTTTACTAATTATTGAAAAAAAGTGAAATGGAACGGTACTATTTACTTGACAGATCCTTAGTCCTCATAAAATTTACAAAATTTTAGTCAAAACCGTATTTTGATGTCTCCATCCGTTCTCGAATTATAGAAAAAAATGTTAAAAATTTGTGCACCAATCAAGTTACTTTAGCAATCAAATTACAGAGCACAGAAATGTTACTACATAGAGCCTTTCTTCACACTTTATTCAGATTCAGAATGATGACAATAAAACAAAATAACCCAAAACACTTAGAATAACCCAAATTTTAGCCAGAATAGCTGAAATGTTCAAAATGTTTTCCAACATTCTCGATGCACTTATTTAATCATCAATTAGTGGAGAGTGAAGAGTTTCTTTTACAAAATATTATAAACTAGTTTATTTATGTTAAAACTAATCTATATATAAAATTTTAGTAGCTATCCTATGACTATGACAAAATTATTACAACGTGATCGTTTTGAGGATGTTTATGGAGTCTGATTCTTCTTTTTTATTGGTCTACCGTACCTATGCTTCATATGATTGTGCTTTATGTTTATGTAACCCTGTTACGTCGTTTTCGAATCATCGTGCCCGTCGGTCAATATATTCTGTAACTAACTCTTTTGCCAAAATATCAAGAAATATTTTTCACAGATTTTTTTAACTCCCATTCAGGATTTTTGATTATGCAAATAACAAATGCATTATAAGCTACAATATCTCTTAGTAACTTATTTAGTGGATTTATACCACTTTTTGCCGAACTGTAGCACTTTATAATTTTAGGTTTGAAATGATGTATATTGAAAGTAAAACAACACATTTTTCGTATTTTAGGCACATTGAGACTAAAGTCATCTTATTTGTGAACAGAAATTGCGATGAATATTGTTCTCTATGATAAGTGCCAGCAACAGATTTTGGAAGATCTTTTCTACTTTTACTTACTCCCAATACACTGTGGGAGTTCAACAGATTTCGGAGCAACATATTGCCATGTACGATTACAAATCATTTCACTTCGGTTATCATGATCTTCATCTGTCTCCAATGCAGTAAATATATCCGTTTTACTATCTTGCATTATCGGTTCCACATCGCTCATTGTGCTACATGATTCTTCCTCTGAAAACTCATCGTCTTCTTCATCCCTGAGAAAATCACTAAAATTTGTAGTGTTTTCCATGTTTTTACGCTAAATAAAATGCATTACAGTTCTATCATATATCGCATAATTCATTCACTTTTTGACTCAAATATACAAATATAACTCGAATTAGTACAACGTCATGTTACTACGTGTACTCAAATAAAAAGTCACGAAAAAAAAATTATTACATTTCATAAGGAATTAAATTGGCATGAACTGACGTGCTCATTATACTTTTACGTGGTACCGTTCAAGCGGCACAAGTAAAATTTTAGGTAAAGTTGCGCTGAACAGTTCAAGAATTAATCTAGTTTGGGTAGAAAAAACTGCCCCTTGAATTTTAGACCTGAATACGTTTTTAATGGTTTTTCTTGTAAAACGAGGTCTTTTAATCAACCCCATAGACAAAAATCTAAACAAGTTAGATCCGAACACGCTGTCGATGGAAATAAACGTCCTGTTTCAATAACTCAATTCGTATATTGCGCCGGACAACCATCCAGGTGTAACCACATGTCTATCTTGTTTCCAATGAAACGTTTTGTAATAGACCTTTTCCAAAAACCGTTAAGGATTTCGTCAAAAAAGAATTGACATGTTATGTAAATTTACATAACCTGCATTATTGAAAGATGCTTCATGCATCCATAGTATTTGTGATAAAAAATTTGGATTTGCCTGAATCATATTTAACAGCCAATAACAATAGTTTAATCTGTAATCATAACTAGTATCTGTTCAGGCCTGATGTAAAACTATGTGATGGGGATGCATATTATTCTCTAGAGGAGTCTTGTGGACAATTGTTTTTGGGATTCCCAGGTCATCGAATTTCTTTCTGGTGGACATTATGGGATTACATTGCAGTGTATTCCACGAATTCTTAGCGGTGTCTAAATGGGCTGCACGTGTCCATAATTGTTAAGCCAATCTTGAAAACACGTATCGATAAAAATGTCTTTTTTTGTGGAAATGTCATTGCAACATTTTCAAAATACTGAACATAAATTCGTAACATATCATACGCTTCTGCGTTAATTTATGACATATTTACAGTTACCATAGCTGGTAATTGGATCCTAATGAAGACACTCCAACATTCGAGAACAAGACCATAAATGGAGACAACAAAAATATGTAATCGCTGCAGATAACGAACAAGACCATAAATATTCAAATTGGTTGAATCGTACAGGAGATATGAAAATGTAAATATTTGAAAACGTATTGGCCTCCGTATTATGACAGATATGAGAAATGTCCAAGGTATCAAATAATGTTGTCAAAGTTATAGCTCATCATCTAACTTCCCGAGATAGCGGGAATTTTATGTTTCTTTATGGCAGTTGCGACCCTCAGCGGTGGAATTACGAACTTCAAAATAATTTCCAGCTATTTCTCTTGCTCACTTTATCAGCAAGGATTTTGCGTCTGGATGTGATAAGGATGTGCGTCTGACCCGAAGTAACCCGAATATTCTAGTTCCATTAAAAATGTATACCACTAGTACTAACACTAGATCTAGGAAGTTTCTAGGAATAGGGTTTTATTTACTTATTTTTTGTATACAACATTTCCGAAATATTAATATTTATTGAAATTGTTATTACTCTCAACAATATCGAATATTTGTAGTCATCTAAATGTTGTCATTTGAAAGAGCTAGCCAATAAAAGATAGCACTAATGCGAAATTAGATATTTAAATAGTGCAAACTAACAACAATAATAATAATAGTACGTGTACTAGTATTGAAAGGTTAAAAGAATTTTCTGATTTTTATACAGCAACACCTTGAAATGAACCATCACGTTATAAACAAATAAACACCATATTTATATTTATTTAATCTAATCTCACACTGAAACTAATTAATAAACAGAAAAATAATGTTTAATCTTTAAAATGTTAATAAATGATAATTAAAACTGTAACTTTTACTGGAAGAAAATTTTAAAGGTCACGAGAGAGAATAAAATAATTTTAGTTGAATTTAAAAAGTGAATGGAATGCTAATAAATAAAAATGATTTTAGTGGACGTGTGTTCATGATATTCAAATGAAGGAACCTAAATATTACGATGATATTTACACGTATATTCAATCGCCGGAATTAGAAGAAACTAACGAATCGGTGCCGGATAATTTAATAGATATTTGGCAAGGTTTAAGAACGTTAGATCAAACGGAAAGAAGCGTAGTAAATCATCGTCCCCGTGTAAATTTTATGAATAGTGGTCTTCTTCATCGTCTTCGTAATCCATGTCGTGAACCCAACCCCGAAGATAAAAATAGAATGGTGAAAAACCTTCCAAGATTAACACATTTTATTCAAGAGCAGGTTATGAGACGGGGTTATATTAAAGAATTATGTTTTTCAAGCGATGGTAGAATCATTGCTTCGCCATACGGAAAAGGAGTGAGATTGTTAGCTTTTAACGAACGTTGTCAAGAAATTTGCGATTGTTTACCAGATGAACCCCAACAATTGGTTCCTATTGTGAATATGCAAGGGTATCATTTGGAAGTTGTTGTTAGTTGTAAATTCAATCCGAGACATTATCAAATGGTTACCGGATGCCTTGACGGCGGAATAAATTGGTATAGACCCGTTTTGTAGTCGAATAAAAAAATTCTTTTTTTTTTTATTAACGTGTATTTAAAAGATCAAGTTATATGTTTCTATTAATTTAATGTTTGTACTTATAGAGATGAAATTAATCAATTGTATAATTGTTTAATAAAATATTATTATGTAACATTTTCTTTACTGCCAATATGGATGTAATAATGTGTTACTTTACATTATAATCTTAATAAAACAATTTCAATTATTATTAAAAGGGCACGATTTTTCTTTTTGTACGACTGTAATAATTTTGTGATATAATTTACTAGTCTATTTATGTTTTAGAACGACGATACTCAAAAGTTCGCTCACTTGGACCACTACAAGGTACTTGGTGAACTTATGCAAAGAAGAATTGAAGGTTCAAAATGTTACAGTACACGTCTGGTGGGTCTTGTAACAGTACGCGTTTAGATAGTCCAGACTCTAAGTCGTACTGTTACAAGTCAGCGCTACGCAGCAATGATAACTGTACCCTAGCTAGAACAGTTTTTTGATCAACAAGGTTTTTGTGACACAGATTCTAAATGCTAATCATTATTTTACTACTTAACCTCATTACAAGCTAATCGCTAATCAGTTTTTCTACGTATCTGGTGAAGTAACTTGCAACGAAATTTGACTGAACTTTACCAGCAGTGTTTCGTGATTATTTTGGCTTCTCTGTGGCTCATCAAGATAAGGATTGCACATTTAATATATGCTGTACGACATGCATAAAGAACCGTACAGATTGGGCAAAAGAAACGCGATATATGATTTTCAGAAAACCCATGATTTGGACAGAGCCTATAAACCACGTATCTGATTGCTACTTTTACCTGACTCAAAACATACTGTGAAATACGCAAATGTACGTTCTGCAATACGACCACTCCCTCATAGTGCTGATTTATGTATACCTGCAGTGCCAAATCAGATAAATGATGCTACCATTTTCCTTCATGTAGTGCAGTTGCAGAAGGAAATTTTTGATCCAACCTATCTACTTGCCTGGGAAGTATATAGGTTACATATAGTAAGATACCATATTTACTAACTCAAGCTGATCTTAACGATCTGGTTTTAGACATAAAATTGTCAAAAAAGCAGTCTGAACTATTAGGATCTATATAGAAAGAATGGAATTTGCTTAATCCAGGAACTAAGGTGTGTCGTTTTCGTAGTCGTAACGAAGATGCAAAAAAATACTGTTCACATGTCACATTTCGGTTATGAACTTGATAGATATTAAATTTGAACCATAAGATTTGCGTTTATTTATAGATTCGTCAAAAATCAGTTTAAAAGCTATACAGTTGCATAATGGAAATAGATTTCCGTCTGTTCCGATAGCACATGCTTCTAGTATAAAAAAACACTTACAAAAACATGAAATTGGTGCTAGATTTCATTTACTACTGCAAAAAAGACTGGTCAAAGCGTGATTGAGCACACTACAGTACTTTTATCACCTTTACATATAAAACTAGGTTTTATAAAAAATATTGTTAAAGCCATGTATTACAATCGGTCAGGTTTTATGTACTTGAAAGAAAAGTTTCCCAAAGTTATTGGCGCACAAATAAAGAAAGGAATTTTCGTCGGAGAATCAGTCATCAGAGAATTGTTCAAAAGCAACATATTCGAAGAAAAGTTGAGTTTGTTAGAGAAATTACTTGGAAAAGATTTAAAAACGTTGAGCAAAATTTTTTGGCAAAAAAAACACAAAGCAAGTAACTGTAAAGATCTGATAGAAGAACTACTTTCGACGTATTAAGCATTGGGTTGCAATATATCACTCAAAATACCCCTATTTCGACTTCTTTTGCAAATTTTTATTGGACGCTTACAAGANCTAGGAGCCGCATGGAAAACTATTTCCAGCATGGAAAAACGATTCCAGGGCAAATGGAGAGCTCCTATGTTGGCAGATTTTTGTTGGACGCTTGCAAGACACCAATACTCCAGAAAATTTTAAGAAACATATTTTTAAATTTACTTGTAAATAAAGTCTCTGTCAAGTTCCTGCCAGAAACAACTATAGATGCCAGATTTGTTTCGTCGTAGATCGCCAGCCCCCATGTCTTTTAATACTAACAAAATCAGCTCCCGAATCCGCTAGTGTAGTAGTTGACAATCGGTGAAAACAATGACCAGTAGCTTTCTGGTTCTGACAAATTTAAATATGATGCAATTTGTGATGATAAACAATTATGATGCCCTTGTAATAATTCTCGTTTTGTTAATCGCCATAACTTGACTCACACATTTTGCATTAACATATTTAATAAAAATCTACGATTACGCTACAAGTCGTAGATTTAGGACGCAATGCATAATACTTTTCATATAATATAATGTAGGACGAATTTGAAATGATGAATCATCTATTGTTAAATTCAATAGCTCAGTTCTTCTACAACCTATGTATAAATATTAAAATAACTGGCAAGAACATAAGTCCTATTTAACAAATAAAATAATAAATTAATTAATATACCTCACCTTTACTATTGTCATAGTTGATTGACATAATATTAAGTTGTAGATGATGATAGTAAAAGATGGCTTTTGGAGAGATAGGACTATACATATCAAAGGTTGCCATTATGCGTTGTAGCTAGCGCCATGTCTACACAGCGAACCATCATTGGCCGACCATTATCAGTTATTACTAGTGCCTTTTGCTTGCTGCCTTACTAACATTTTATTAAATCGGTAGTTGTTTATTTATTCGTTATGAAAGGACATAAGAAAGAAAGACATAAGTAATAATACTTAATTTTGATTTTGTAGGTGAACGATTGCTGATAAGATATGCTACTTTTCGGAATCATTGTAAAAAAGGAACTCTATGAGACTTGGGGATGAAGTTGGTTCTTCTCCTCAGAAAGTTGTTTAAAAAAAAGGCATACAATTTCTTTGAAAACGTTTGTCAAAATATCAAAACCATTTTCAACCACCAGGTAGACAGTTCTTGGTTGAATGTTCTTTCAGGTAAACCCAAGGCAAGGTGTGTCCAGGAAAGAGCTTCATTTCCGTTGTGGAAACGAGGAGAGAGCTAACAGATATTGGATGGCCGATGAGGAGAGGTGGTGTAGGCTATGCAGGGAGGAATGGGAAACGTTGGAACATATATATACAGTATAAATGCCTCGTTACGCAAAAATACATAAGGGAGAACGATTTCGCTATCTGGGAACGAGCAGATTTATACAGTAAGATATTATAAAATAATAATTTCTTATACATGAGAATAAAGTAGAAGAGAGTCGCATATAGAGCATCAATTAAGAAACTAATCATACCAGTACGAAAACAAGTCCTCGGAATTACAAGATGATATTAATAAAATGAACACTTCATTCATTCATTACACTCTATAAGATGCTCAGTATAAAGACAAAGATGTGTGTGAGGACGAATGCACTGTATACGGTATACCTCTTGGTATTAAATTAAAACAATCTTCACCATATCAGAGGAATGAATGAAATTGACGTCTTGATTATGCACATCAGCATACCGTCTCCTCACAGCAGTATTGTACGCATAGCAATCCTGCTTCACAATATTGTATGTCTAGTTTTGGTGAACCACATGATAAAAAGTATAGTGTAGTCGTTAACAGATTTCAAAAATAAATTGGAGTGACCCATTCACGTACATCTAGAATGGCCCATGGTAATTATGATATATATTCTTGGAAATTGTGTAGCTTTACACTGATATGGGATCGATATAGCGTCTCAGCCACAAGCCACCTCGGCTTAAGAGGGTACCACCTTGAAGAACCAAAAATAAAGATAACTTTAAAATTGTTTTTGCAAGGAGTACAAAAGTTTTCTGAAAACGAGTTGTGGGGTTTTAATAAGCAGCTATTCTAAAAATGTGTTTTATTTATTAACAGTTATTAAAATTGCACCTGCTAGATGTCTGCAATGTTAGGCTTGCAAATCGTGCAGGGTCAATTGGTGTATAAGATTGCTCCTAAACCGGAAATCGAATAATCAAATTTCGAGTAAGACTACTTTTTTAAACTCAAATACTAGGGAACTACGTAGGATTTTTAAAGAATATTCATTTTTAACAGAATGGTGGCTATTTTACAACATATTTATTAATAAAAGACATACATAAAAATGGTTGTAAAACAGACAACTTTAGATACATCGAAAAACGGCTACGTACTTTCTTAGAGTAAGATGATACAACCTTAAAAAAAAATTTGAAAATCCGTTGTAAAATGTGGGAGTTATCATGAGCACAAATTGTATTTTTCAGAAAAAGACGTAGAAAGTTGACCAATATGAAAAATTATATATTTTCTTTCGAAATCTCTAAGCAGCGATTCTGCAGCGTAATTTGTCCTCCCTGAAGGTTATTTTCTTCTTCTGCATCTAATCTGTCTGACAATAAGCTTCTACGACCTTCTTTAACCTCATCGGTCATGGAGGACATGACCCCACTTCATGGCAAAACTCAAAGCACGATCTTCCAAATGTTAATTCTAGTACTTGCATTATTTCAATAATGCTTGTAAGACGAATGGAATATCGGACGCAATGCCAACCACTTTCTTGCCACCATGAATCATTTTTGGTGCCATAGACTTAGTAACTTTCATTACTGTTTATGCATTTTAACTTTTTTAACAATAAGATCAAAATACCTAAATATAATAATATATAATCGAGCAAAAATGAAACAGAAAGAGTTTTACAAGTAGCTTGGAAATTTCGATTAGTAGGTGCGTTACAAAAATGAAGTTTTCAGACAGAAAAACGTTCAGCAAACTTTTTCTGTCAATGATTCTCATTCTAGACAATCTAAAATTTACTTTAAACGAAAAAAAAAACTTTTTTTTATTGTCAAAGGTGCCACCTTAATTAGAAGATAAATCCTTAAAAATCGTGTAGATTAGTGTTGATATGGTATGGATGTAACGCCTCGTTCGCAAGCGACCTTGGGTAAATTACAATAAAAATTCTTAGAAATCATGTAGATAAGTGTGGATATGGTATGGATTCTTCAAAATTGTAGTAGTTTTACATTGATATAGGATCGATGTAGCGTCCCGTCCGCAAGCGACCTCGGCTTAATTAAGAAGTCAATCCTTAGAAATCGCGTAGTTTTGTATCAATATGTTATGGATGTAGCACCACGGCCACAAGCGATCTCGCTTAAATTACGACAAAAATCCTTAGAAATCGTGTAGATTAGTGTCGATAT